AGACCTACGAAGTTGAATATTTTGCGATTGTTCAGGCTGCTCATTCTGATTGTGAAGAGGTTCTCTTGCATTGGACTGTCCAATGCTCGGAGAATTTTCTGGTGCTACACTTTTAAGTGTTTCCAGAGAAGGAGAAGTAGGTGCAGAAGGAATGACAACCACGTCATTTCTTTCATGCCTAATAGGAACCACTTGCTGGTGCGAGGTGCTTCCTATATTACTCCCACTAGCTGAAGGATATCCTCCTAGAGACATACTTCCGCTTAATCCTCCCACTGAATCCTTGTTTTGATCATCTAACAAGTCTTCATCCTCTATGTTATTTTGTGATTCTTGAATATCTTCTAGTACTATCTTCTCACGATTGAATTCCTTGAAGACCAAGTCTTCTTCTAGGAATCGTGCCTGTCTGGAAATAATGATTTATGTTCCTCAGGATGATAGAAATAATATCCCCTAGTTTCTTTAGGATACCCCACAAAATAACATCTCTCACTTCTAGCTCCTAACTTATCAATGTGCAATTTCTTTACATAAGCAGGGCAACCCCACACTTTAATATGTGAAAGAACAGGCTTCTTATTACACCATAACTCATATGGTGTCTTTTGCACTGATTTAGATGGAACTCTATTCAGAATGTATATCGAAGTTTGCAATGCATACCCCCAAAGTGATGTTGGAAGAGACGTGGAATTCATCATGGACCTAACCATGTCTAACAAGGTTCTATTTCTCCTTTCAGAGACACCATTCAATTGAGGTGTTCTTGGAGGAGTCCATTGTGACTGAATTCCCTGACCTTTTAAGTAATCGAGAAACTCCATACTCAAGTATTCCCCTCCACGATCAGATCGTAGAGTCTTGATACTCTTGTCAAGTTGCTTCTCTACTTCAGCCTTATACTCCATGAATTTCTCAAAAGCTTCTGATTTGTGTTTCATAAGATACACAAATCCAAACCTAGAGAAATCGTCAGTAAACGTGATGAAGTAAGAAAAACCTCCTCTAGCTTGAGTTGGGAATGGTCCACATACATCTGTGTGAACCAATTCAAGCACTTCTTTGGCCCGTAGTCCTTTTCCAAGAAAAGGTTTACTCGTCATTTTAGCTGAGAGACACGAATCGCAATTACCATATGATTCAAAATCAAATGGCGTTAAGTAATTTAATTTACTTAGCCTTGCTATTCTGGCTTCATTAATATGACCAAGCCTACAATGCCAAAGATATGTGGTATTTTTCAGATTACTTAACCTTGGTCTTTTATTTTGTACATTTAATATGTCATGTCTACAATTAAGAACATATAAACCATTCATAAGAGGAGCATTTCCATACACAATACCATTTTGTGAAAAACAACAAGTGTTATTAGCAAAATGAAAAGAAAAACCCTCATTGTCTAACATAGGAATGGAAATTATGTTCTTTGTTATAGAAGGAACAAAATAACAATTATTTAGTTCTAATCTATAACCACTGGGTAAATCTAATATATAAGTCCTGACACGTTCAGCAGCAACTTTTGCTCCATTTCCTACACGTAGGTCAATCTCACCCAGCCTAACTACTCTACTGTCATTTAGGCCTTGCACACTATTGCAAATGTGTGAGCCACAAGCCGTATCTAATACCCAACAGTGAGAGTTAGTTGTAGACATATTAATATCAATGACAAAAATGCCTAAGCTAGAAGCACTCGGTGCTTTGGCTAGATTAGTGCTGTATATCTCACAATCTCTCTTCCAATGTCCTGTCTCTTTGCAGTAGAGACATACATCATTTGGTACCTCAGCAATGTGATTCTTCTGAATGTCCTTGTCAAACATGGCTAATTCAGAAGAGCTAACATCAAGGATCTCGGGTACACATGTATCAAATACATGTTCGATATTTTCTTGCCTAAGAACGAAACGCATATTTTGTTCCAAGTCTAGAAAGTTTGGTTCAATCAGATTATTTGTATCCAAGATACTTCTCAATGATAAATTCGACATACCTAAAAGCCTAAAGAAGTTCAAATAGAACGGAATTAAAATCATATATTAATTCCTATGATCACATTTAGTTAACTAAATAATATGGACTTTTAATTATTTAGCTCCCACTATTTTACATGCTCTTTGACCCCAATAAAAGAAACATGGAATGTTTTACAATCATAGTGGTCAAAATCCTCATTCATACTATTACAATCCCAGCTTGGGCTGATCACTGCAATAATATAATGGGTAGGTCCCTAGACCAATTGCGTCCAAGCAACTTTTGGTTGATCAATTTTTAAATGATCGACATCCTTAAATTAACACTGACGCTTGGGCGACTCGAGCTAATTTAAGTAAGTCAAAACCATCACACGATCACAAACATATGTATCTATAAATTAGTTCTATATTTTGTCGAATGGAATAAAACACTTGGGTGAAATATTCTTCAACGAAAAAATATTTCTACTAATTTAATTATGATGGATGATGTCGTTATCCTAGATAAGACTTAAATTTTAATTTATGGGGAACATTTGGCGGGGTATTAATTTTTTTTATTTTTATTTAATCAAGATGCTAAAACATATTATCAAATAATACGTCAACGAGATCTAATACAAACAGATAAATTAAAGCATGCAATATAAATCAAATTTATGAACAGATATAATCATCTAATAATATTAAGCATGCTTCAAAACATAAAATTAACACTTAAAATTAATCCTTTTAAATTTCAAAGATAAATAATATAATTAAAACAAGAATAATTTTAATGCTTAATTGTATTTATCTGTGGTGTCGTGTGGTAAAAGAAAACAGCACCAAAAACCTATACTACTTGGTACGTATTCTAAAGTCCTTATTTACACTAGTGTTCCTTTAACTATTTGGTTTCTCAAAGTCAAACCAAAGAAAAAAAAGATCCCAAAATAAAAGGGAAACGATGAAGGGATTTCCGCCGAACCCGTCGGACTTGCGAGACGTAGGGATTTCACCTGATGGCATTCTACGCTCTTCATCATCTTCGATCAACAGGAAGTTAGAGGGACCGTTCAAAAGGCTTCTCCGCCATTAATGGCGGTTAAGTTTTTTTTTGGGTTTGTTGTCTTAAATTCGCAGCCATCGAAAACGTGATAGATCGTAGATCCATAAAAAAAAACAGTCGCCCGATTAAACATCACAGTTCAGATTTTGATTTCTGAAATCAAATTTTAATCACTTTGATAAAAAAAAATTGAAGCACATCTTTATGATAAAAAAACGGACAACAGAAGATGTCAGATTCGTTCAACTCACATATTCTCAAAATCAAATTGATTTCAAAGAACAAAAATATAGACTTCTTCGGAAATCAACCTTTGGTCGTTAACATAATCTCAGAAATTATGTATTTTGATCAATGAAAATATCCATAAAATTCATGTAATGCCATTAGAATCAGTTTGGCTCTGATATCACTGTTAGGAAATTGATGTAACGTACCTCGAAAGTACGGCAGCGGAAGTTTAAAATTTTCCCAAACAGATCTTTCCTAATTATGACAAAACAACGAATATGACAATAATAGTAGATCTGAGTTAGAACTTACAGATCTTCCAGCCTAGCAGTGATAATCTTTGACCTTCGGTATCCACGTGATTTCTCCTTTCCGAAAGAACGGTTAGATCTCCCTAAGAGAAAGGCTAGGAAATCTCTTCGCAGGGAAATAAACTGGTAATACTGAATCTGAAAACTGGGCTATGAATTATGAAGGAGAAGGATGTATTTATACTAGTTCGAAACTAGTTTTCCAATCACAATGAAAGTCTTTCTAATTAATGAGTTCTAATCCTACTAGGACCAATACTCCTAATTAATTAAATAAGTAGATAAAACAAAACAATAATAATAATAATTGAAATGTGGGTGCACGCCACTTTCTAATTATTATATATTAATATTTATTTTATTTACTTTTCTTTTAATTCCAAATTACAAAAGAAAATATCTACTTTATTTAATAATAAATACATCTTATTTAAGTATGATAAATCTAATTTATCTTACTTAATTTATTCTATCAAATAGAACTCTCCATCAGCTTCATGAATTAAATATGTTTAATCTAATTAATATTTAATTCATTTTCAGTATTACGAATTAAATATTATTTAATCCAATTAATAATATTTAATTCCTTCTAACAATTCAATCGGAAGGTATAATCACTTGTTGTGTGACCCATAGGGCCTTATATATTAAGCACTAATCAAATTAAGGTCTTAGCGAATCCCTAGACGATTCTCCAGACAAACCTAATATATAAGGACGTTTGCGAGGACTATACAAACTCCCTGTAATATAGAGTTCATAGTGATACGGTCCTTTCATTCAGCGAACATTCAACTAAGTCTAGAACATGATATAGTGTCTATCCCAATAACTCAGTCTCTGTCTCTCAATCTTTCTAGATGATCCATAACGATCATATTCGATATCCAAAATGAATATATCTTTGCATTGGCCAATGACTTTATGATCCATCTAGATATGAGAAGTAGAATGTTCTCTCTTAATCTATTATGAGGAATGAATCCTTTCTTGGCTCAACTACTACTCCATGTGTTTCGTGATGCACCCAACACATGCCGTATCTACCTCGATTGGAGTGCAAGCGTTGGTCATGGTCAAAGTACATCACTCCGCACATGTAGTACGTATTGACCTCAAGTCGGAGGACTATTACACTACTCTATACGCCGATAATCCCATAGACACATGAATAGAACTTATCAAATGGTTTCTCGGTGGGTATGCCAATATTCTCTAAAATATCTATGTGACCATCATGAATTACAGGAACTCATAGTCGTGAGATCAACTATACTTTCTAAAAGTATGATGCAGTCCACATACCAATCTTATCTCATATCATCAATATCCCATTCTTGATGATCATTGATTGGGGCTATTTTAGGACCTCATGTTGTATCATATAAGCTCCCACTTACTTATTGACAACATAAATCCAAGGGAACACAATTATGAATAAAACATTGACAATCGAAAACAATCATTCATAAAGTGTAATACCGTGTATATATCAAATATAAAAACTAAATGTGAACAAGTACATATGTCTTTAAAGAAATGATTGTCGCTAGGACATATATACTAACACATACTACTAAGTTGGCAAGATTGACTCGTCCTATAAATTGATGATGATCCATATCATTTATCAAGCAGCCGCTGATTTCACAGAATCCGCAAGTTCCTGAAGTATTTCCTTCTGCTCCATAGCAGCACAAGACTGCATACATGAGTAATGCAGTGGGTGATTTTTACTATTATGATTAGGAGGAATACAAATACAACAACAACAACATCCAAGCCTTAATGATGGGAGGGGAGGAGAATATTGGTAATATCTAAGAGAATAAATTACCTGAACAGCTGCCTCTAAGTCACCTTCAAGGAAACTGGTTAGCTCAAAATTTATTTTTAACCTGTGATCCGTTACCCTGTTATCCTGAATAAATAAAATCATGAGACATTTTAACTTTAACTCCAGTAAGCCATACATAATATCTTCCTAGGCAGTTCAAAAATTACAGCGGAAAAACACATCAAAATGATATAAATCCTGGTTTGAACTTTGATCAGAAACACTAATGATATCGTTAATACGTTTTAGAAGACAAGAATGTGATTTTCTATCTTTTTCGATGAGTGGCATATTTCGAGCTCAAGTTCATCAGAGATATTGCACCTTGAAGTTGTATGTCCGGATCTTTTCTGCACGAGAGCCACTGCCAACCTGCCCATTGAGCAAGGATAAGCCTCATTAGGAAATGCAACGTATATGGAGTTCCACTTCCACTAGAAAATCAGTTCTATGGAGGATGTATGACACTTGGGCAACGCTTTGGTAAGCGTTGATGGAACATAATGTAATGTAATCATATCCATGTGTGATGTAAATTTACACTTAAATATGTTTGTTTGCATTACATTAGATGACAAGTAATTGAACAATACCAAGAACATGCAATGTAATCAATTAGTCTTGTCCCCCATTCCCATTCCCCAAGAAAATGACTCTTGTTTGTAATATTGAAATCAATACTACAAACAAGACTTTTTATGGGACAGGTGGGGGTGGGGGGGCTTTAATGTTAAATTACAATAGACATGCACCTTATTGCACTAATACGCTACTTTTTAAATTACATCTTAACAAAGTACACCTAGCATTACACTTGTATTTATTTGTGTGATAATGTAGTTGTGTGTGTGATTTATGTCTAAAACAAACTAGTATACTTGGAAGAAACAAGCAATCACCTGCAACTTTCTTTGATTCCTAATCACCGCTTGCTGCTCTCGTAATTTAATTTCATACCTAATAGAGCACAATTGTCATCAGCAATTGTGACTTTCTTTCTCTATTTTGTATTATCATGATCAACGAAATTGCTTTGGAACACTATCGGTTGGAAATGCACTTCAAATAAGACTCACAGTTTTGCTCTCAGCAATTGAAAAGCCCGGTTCTTATTTTTAAGCTGAGACCTTTCTTCGGTACAGAAGATTCTGATTCCTGTTGGTTTGTGGAAAAGATCAATAGCTGTCTCCACCTTGTTCACATTCTGTCCTGCATCATCACATAACCAAAACATGTGATTTGAAAGCGTGTTCAGTAGTTCACTTACCACCGCTGATCCAAAAAGTCAGCTCGGCATATACCTCCAGCACCACCAGACCGTGCTGTTGTAAGCACAATGTCCTTTGGATCAATCTCCACCTCGACTTCGTCAGCCTGGTGCCAAAATGGGATGATGGTAAGTGAGGATCAAATTTGCTGGGACAGGGAGGAACTATATATTCACTCATATTGCAATTATTACTTCATGATATGGATCGACCAAGACAGTATGAGATGACCTTTTAAAATGATAAATTGGGTCTACCTCACCCACAACAGGATCCTCAAGATGTGAAATTTACTTCATGTTTATATACAAAACTCTAACCTAGTAGATAACTGGTGTGGAATACTTAAAGACAAATCCCTAAATCCAAACTGATCCCAAATGAGCTGCCCCAAACCGCCGAATGGGCAGGTGCCCTAATAAACAACCATCAAACTCAGCTTTGATACCATGGTAAGTTAAACCTAACTCTCACAAAAAAAGATACTAAGGAGGTGACATTTTACTCACATTCATGATTCATATACTAGACTCAAGCACAGTATGCAACCGATGTAACAGGAAATGTGGAAGTGATCTCACCTCTGGCATTATAGCAACTGTAGCAGTAGAAGTGTGGACACGGCCTTGAGTTTCGGTTTGGGGAACGCGCTGGACTCGATGGACACCAGACTCATACTTCAATTTGCTATAAACACATTTTCCTTTTATCTCCAAGACACATATCTTAAACCCTCCCATATCAGCCTTAGAAAGACAGGAATAAACTTAGCACTGAAAATTGGGAGGAAAATACAGGGGAAATTTGGGAGCAAAGAAATGTAATTGATTTTTTTTGCTTAAACTCACTTTATTAATCTCTATATACTTCGTATTATACAGAGCATATACACACACAAAATATGCACAAGAAAAAATTAAAAATACGTAATCATATTTATTTATCTTTTGTAAGTGCCTAAGTGGAATATGTCCATTGTGAAATCAAACAGGATAACATGATTTTCCGAAGCATATTTCCCTTCCGTGGCATTTTCTTCGATCCAAACATATCCCAAAGTATTACCTCTGAGCACGAAACTAGGGAGTGCTTCCAGGAATTGCGTTCACTGTACTTTTGGTACATGCGTACCTAAAACATGGTTTGAAAACTTAGTGGAAGAAGTTCTGGCTGATGAAACCAAGAATATTGACAAGACTGTTAACTTATTCTGAACTCTAAAGACTAATTAAGACCATCAATTTAGCATTTGAAGATATAACCTAATGGAACAGTACAGAATCGACAGGTCTTGCCGTCTTGGTTACCATAGTATGTTAATTGTAAAGTAATGATGCTTTACATCGACCATACCATGATACATCATACATGTCTATATTCCATGCTTAGAATAGGAAGCAATAATTAGCATATTGATTGCATCATTACACAGTATGATCTTGGAAGGACAAATGGAACATGTACCTACAAGATCTCCAGCCCAAATTCCAGCTTCATCACCACCCGTACCCGCACGCACTGTGAATTAATTAACTAATTAGCTTTACATTATATGTGTGAAAAAACATTCCGCCACATTCACTGCAATCAGCACACATGTGAGTGTCAAAGTTGCGGGGTTCACGGACAGCCCAGTTCGGACATTTCTAATTTTTTTTAAATACGAATTTATGCTCTTTCAAAAGCAAGAGAAAAGCAACCATATTCTGAGAAAACTATATGTGATCAGGGCAAACTATATGTGATATGGATTGACTGAGTGGGCTAAGGGAGTGTTTGCAAATGATTTTAAAAAGTGATTTTCAGCTTTTGGCTTAAAAAAAGCTGAAACGAGTGTTTTCAAGTGACATCTTCTACTTAAATTAAGCACCTAAAAGCTGGAAGCATGTGAGGAGGTGCTTTAAATTGCTTTACACTTTTTCTATTACACAAAAGGCATTAATTTTACCAAACACTATCAACTTTTACTTTTCAAAAACATTTTTTCTCAAACACTATCAACTTTTACTATTAAGCACTTTCTCCAAAATCATTTTAAAAAATCATTTTTCTAAAGTAGAAGCAATCGCAAACACTCCTTAAGACTATGACGATTTGTTTGAAGGACTTTCTTATTTTATTACATTATTACGTTCTACAAGAAACTCTTCAATTGATGCAAGCAACCAAACCGCACGAAATATCCAAAATAAATGGAACCCAAATTACCTTCAAGCATTATATTTCTTGAATCGAGAGGGTCAGTAGGAATCAAAAGAACCTATCACATATGAAAAGATGTAGAAGTTGCAAAACTTGAATTTAAGAGGGGTACAACAACAACATACAAGCCTTAGTTCCAAAACTTGTATTTAAGAGGGCTATGTCAGGAAAACATGAAAGGAAAAATATATGTGCCTTAAGCTGCAGATTTTAGTCACCTTAAGCTTCTCCTCGAGCTCACTTAATTGTTTAGTTAAACTTTCAAGTTCTGATGCTATCATTTCAGTCATGTCTTCATCACCACCTTCTTCCTTTGCCAAAGCTAACATTTAACTTAAAATGTTGTTATGAATTCAAAGATAATATTTTGAGTGATCAGAAAAGTAGAGATTGGATTAAGGAGAACTATGTTTTTAATCTTCTGAACAATAAATAGTATGAAAAAGCAAGCAAACCTTTTGTTTCCTGTATTTGTTTTTCACAATCTTTGAAGCTTGTGTATGTTGAGACAACCTAACAACCAAAAAGCAAACAGAATACATTTACCAGAGGATACTGTCAGTATGTCACTTGTCAATGGCATCATATAATGATTATAATCATTTCCAATCTGTTGCAGATATTAAGAAATGGATCAGAAATGAAGTGTGACACCTCTTCAAGCTCTGAAACTGACTGAGCCAATTTCTGATATTCACTTGGATTTGAAACAATATCTGGATCACCAAGCTTAACCTTCAAAAGATGTGCAGTGTGAGGTGTTAACTTCAGTAATATCACTTTAACATTTTCAACAGTTTGAAGTCGTTAAGATTATGATTACACGAAGTTTGGATGTGTGTGCTTGTGCGGTAGGTTTGAACTCTCTTGAGGAAAAAACATACCGATAAATCTCGCCATGTCTTCTCAGCAGATTCCAGTTTTGAAATCAAATAAGGTTCCTTCATTATTAATCACAAAAAAAGTAAGTTGAACCAATTAAGGCAGATAAAGCATTAAAAAAACCAAACAGGAGAAGTATCCACAAAAATAAAGTAACCAAATACGGAGTAATTGCTTATTTTCTGAACAGGAAACTGTTGAAATTTCCAAGCTCAGCTATGCAACTGGTTGCAATTTGCAACTACTAGATAATGCATACATTTCTCTTTTTCTTTCTTTCTTTATGTTAATTGTTTCTAGATTCTAATAGAGCATGAAAATATTGACATATTTCTTACTTCCAGCTTTGCCCTATCGAAATTACCCCACCTATTGGGTGAGCTTAATAAATGATAAAATGTGATGCTTTGATACGGACCGCCATGCAGACAACTCTTCTAGAATGATTTTGGTTGGTCGAGGGTTCATTGGAAGTTCGCAGACCACAACTGAAGCTGTGGCGTGTTGGGAATTGCATCAAACATGTGGCGGTGACTCTGGAGGTGAGGCTAATCGCCAGACCATTCATCTCAAGTTTCCTGCGCAAGTTAGGTGAATCGAGGATAAAAGGATAGAACACTGAGTCGTGAGATCAAACAAGCATCCGAGTTCGTGAAAGGACGGATAGAAAGACTAAGCAGTGACAGAATAAAAACGGAAATTAGTACGTATTATCAGCTAGATCCACTTACTTATAATCATTTACGTAATCATATTTAACAAAATTATATATTTAATCAGGTAAATTTACTCACTTGCATATCTGATCTGTTAACAAATAAATTTATCCGCAATAAGAATCTTTCCAAAAGAAAGTAATCTTTGTGGTGAAAAAATTAACTTATGTAGTCTATCTAAAACATTTAAAAATTTATCCGTATATTTAATCCTGTATTAACAATTTTAAAATTTTAAATGCACATTATTTATAATTACAATTTAGCTAAACTTTTGGGATGTTATTTTATACCTGAAACAGATGTTGGTGAATGATGATTATAGGAAATTAAATACTTACTTGAAAGATATCGACCTTGTCCTAAAGATCATTCACCAACATCTGTTTTAGGTATAAGTAATATTTCATAAGTTTAGATAAACTGTAATTCGAAATAACGTTTGTTCATTCAAACTTTAAAAATATTTTTATTATATCTAAAGTATATTAGTGGATACTTTTAAGAAAACCGATGAAGCTAGTAATCCTTTTTCACGTGAGCAAAAAATCTCTAACGTGAGATGTATATTTCACCAATATTTCAACAATCTCATGATTATTTTTAAACTTTTAAAAATAATAGAGATTTACTGTTTTATGCTTGTATTTTATTATGTGTCCGATGTTAGTCCTATAAATTTACCCTCATATAGATGTAGTTCTACATCTATAACTATGTCTATTTAAGGATTGTTTCATCGGATGCACACATTCTGGAAAAAAAACATACAAAGTACTAGAAAAGATGTTGTCAAAATTTTCGTCACAAAGTGTACATTCTGGTGAAAAAATCTGTAATGCGGATAAATTTACGTGTTACCGTATCAAATCTGCAAGTGAGTAAATTTATATGATTCAATCTATAATTTTGCTAAACATGATTATGAGTTATTAAACTCTCATTAAAGGATAGGGAGGGGGTAAGGTTATATTTTTAATAATGGAGGGGTCCAAACATGATAATGCATAAGAGAGGTGAGTGATAATTTCCCTAATAAAAAAGCATATCAGTTCGTGACCTTCACTCATCATTAATTCATCGATTGAAACAAAAAAGAGGATGCACGAAATGAGTAATCAATAACAAATGGGAAAGGGCAAATAAGTCCTCGAACTAATTGAAAAAATGTAAATCACCTCTTTTATAGAAGATTCTGTCCGGCCGTCACCATTTGAGGCGGTTCCCGATGAAATTTTTTGATGAAATTTTTTAATTATCTTCTTCATTAAGTCTAGTTTACTCATATCAAATTTCAGGTAAAAGTTCAATCGTGCAAGCAGTCAAATAAATGTTTGAAGATAACTATGTTGTTAAACATCACACTATATTTTAGAAAACTATTTGACTGACTTCCCGGTTGAATTTTTACCTGAAATTTGGTATGGGTAAACTAGACTTAATGGAGAAGATTCTCAATAAAAAAAATCAAAAAATTACACTCAAAATCACCCTAAATAGCAATGACCAGACGGAACCTCCTATAACAAGGGTGATTTGCACCTTTTCGGTTAGTTCGAGAACTTATTTGCACCTTTTCTCATAACAAATTGGATATGAAAGAGGCCAAATAGATGAACGCACCGGAAGAACACAGAACTTCTATGGCAATAGGTAGAGAGTTAGAGATCGTAGTCCGTAGAGCACCCCTCTGCCCGGGTATTTTAAGACATTTTAGGATTATGAGATTTTAGGAGACATTTGAGATTTTAGTGGATTTGTCTAGATTTGTGTGGATTTGGACATGAGACATACTAAGACATTTTTTAATTTTATTTATTTAATTTTCCCTTAAAAATTGAAAAGTGTCACTAAGGATAATAATTTCACGCTAACAAAAATTACAATGCACTTACTACAATGAAGAGAAAACTTCACATCCACCGTTTGAAATAACTCTAAAGTGATTCTCAATGTTATGAAAGCATAAAAACAAAAATAACTTAACATTAAAGTTACTTGGACAATCACATGACTTATACTAGTTCATAGCATCATTCCAAATATTAGTTGCTATTGTGTCCCTCCATGCATTTGCACTAGCCCTTTGTTGTTCTTGAGTTTCAAAATATTGGTCAACATCTTTCGCTTCAAAAGATCGGTTTTCATCTTCAGGATCAACCGGAAATTCATCATAGCGACATTATTTTCATAGAAAATTATGCAATCCAACTCATGCAAGCACTAGCTCAGCTTGAGTGCGGAAAGGAAAATGACGACCCTTGACTTGAATATCCCAAATATCCTTTCAACTATATTCCTTAGTGAAGCATGACGAAGATTAAAAAGTTCCTTTGAATTATTTGGATCATGACCTTGACCAGCAAAATCTTGTAGATGATAGTGGGTACTTCGAAAAGGGGGCTAAAAATTGACGTCTATTTGGATATCCACAATCTGCCAAATAAAAATATCCTACATAATATGGATGAAAATTATAGTTATAAAATCTTTTATAAAAATACTTACAGTAGTTGTAAGAATAATAATAGCAAATAATAATAGCAAAGAGTATTGTAATAATAATAATTAAAACACTAAATAAGTGATAGTAGTATATAATAACAACGACATTGATTACTACTAATAAAGAATATATTATGTCATGCATATGTACCATTGGGAACTTTCAGACCGTTTTCCCTTGTCAATGCATCGGTCAAAAACTGAAATCGACACAAACCGACCGTAATTAACCGAACCGAAACCGACTCAAGTAATGCGGTTCAGTTTACAATTTCACCTTTTCTAAAATCGAATCTGACCAAACCGAACCGAACAAACCAAAAACCGACCAAACCGAACCGATGAACACCCTAAAGAAACTTATTGACAATATTCTTTCTTCTGCTCTAGAACCAGGCCTCTCTGTCCCTTTGGCACGGTTCTGCACACCCTCTGGTGAGTGGGATTTCCCCCCTTTCTCGTTCCTTAATCCCAGAAAATCTGGTAATGCATATTGCAGGTATGTCCTCACCTCGCCCTAGTAGTGGAGATGATGCTCTTGTTTGGGGTTTTGAAAAGGATGGTTGATTCAGAATTCGGTCATCATACGCCCTACTTGGTGGCCAGATTAACAGAGAAGAAGGGCCAGACCGGAGAGTGGTATGGTGTTGGCGTGGCCCCAATTGTATCAGACATTTCCTTTGGCTCGTGGCGCACAACCCGCTACTAATTAATGAGGAAGAAGACGAAGACATATGGCGGTAGAGGGCGTCTGTTCACGCTGTAATCAACACCTGGGAGCGTCTTGCCTATCTTTCTGCTGATCCAACAAACTGGAGTCCCCACTTTTGCCTTGGATCACACACCACCTGAAGGCAACGAGCAATAGTCTTCTTTTCGGGGTTGCCTGTTGATCTCTTTGGAAGGCCAAGAATGAAGCTATATTTTCTGATACTCGCACTACCCCCGAGTCCCTTGCTCAGCGTGTCAGACATTGGGGTGAGTCTATTGAGGAGACTTTGATACGTGACCAATCCACACATACCGGTCTACCAACCAAAATGATGGTGGATGTCTCTTGGCTGCCGCCCGCATGGGTTGCTCTAAATTCTGACGGGTCAGTTATTCCTGAGACTGGACGAGCAGCTGCAGGAGGATTGTTTCGTGATTCTGATGGGCGCTGCTTAGCAGCGTACTCGATGAACGTGGGTTTTTGCTCGATAACCAGAGCTGAATTGAGAGCTGCTATGCATGGATTACATCTTGTTTGAGAGTTTGGATACCGGCAGGTACAAGTGCAGTTGGACTTGTACATGCACACCAACATTCTTCTAAGGTCGCACAATTTCATGAGCTTTTAAACCGAAGTTGGACGGTCAGAGTTGAACATATCTACCGAGAGGGTAACTGGCCAGCAAACTTTTTAGCTAGTCTAGACCATAGATTACCTATTGGTGTTCATTCTATTTCTAATGGTGGTCCTAGATTATCGTTACACATTTTGTATGACATACTTAGGATTTCCCAACCTCGTTTGATCATTAATGACAGATATGAGCTTTTGCTCCTATGTTTCTACCAAAAAAGTTAAAGACATTCACTTGAAAAATCTATTCGTTTGGATAACAAGTCAACATTAACGAAAAAATTTAATGAGAGCTTTAATAGGATAAGTGTAATCCAAACACAAGAATATCTAGGCAACATTGCTTTGAAGAAGTCTTTACACCACGATGGGGGCATAAGTGACACCACAACAAGTCAACAACGAACATGGCAGAAGTTTTCAATAGCTTCATGAAAAGTGCACAATACTTGTCTATAACTCCCTTAGTTTAGTTATCATTTTATCAAGTGAATGCTTATTTTGTGAAAAGAAGAGAAGCTAGTAAGAGAAGGTTAGTGGAAAGACATCGTTAATGTCATCAAGTGACTGAACAAAATGAGAAAAATAAGGAGAAGTCAAAGCATCACAAGATCACAACATTTGATATACGCAGTGATTTATACCAAGTGGAAACAGGTCGCGATGGATGGTCTGTGAGGAAGGATGGTACAAAACAAACGGTGAATTTACATTGTCACCATTGCACATGTCAGGAGTTGAATATTTATTAGATTCTTTGCTCACATATCTTAGCAGTATGTAAAAAATATAACTTGTCCTATAATGCTTTTGTTGATAGTTTTTTCTCATCATCGAAGTATGCAACTTCTTATTAAAGAGAACTTAAACTCATACCAAATGTAGCTTATCAGCCTACTTACAAATTACAATAGACCACGAGTTATGAATGACCCATCAATGATTCGCGCTAAAGGTCGTCCGAAGGCTACACGATTGAGACATGAAATTGATGAAGGTCTTAGAGGTATTGTGAGATGCGAATTATGTAAACAGAGTAACAAACAAGGCATAACAGAGTGACTTGTGCTAGAAGAACATAGGGGCACATAGGGAGTTCCACTGGTTAATGCTATTAGGGGTGGACCCGGTCCGGTCCTTGTCCCGATTCTGGTTCCCAAACTTGAGACCAAAACCAACCTGGAGTAATACGGTACCCGATTCCGATATGGTCTACCCGACCAGTCCGAACTCGATTTCCCACCCTAGAATAAAAAAAATGCCTGTTGAGACTGAAACCAAGATCGGGACTGCCCGGGCCAGTCCCCCAAAACCCTACCTGAGACCGAGACCCACCCACCCAGCCAAGTACCCCAGTCCAAGCCCGATACTGGAAAACCAACCCCAATTCGATCCCGCACAGTGGCAGTCCCGCTTCCAGTCCAAGACCGTTGACCGAGTCCATCCCTAAATGTTGTAGTGTTCAGGTTTTCAGAAACGCATTCACACCATTAAAAACATTTAATATAACTTCCAAAAATTAAAATAACTAATGCACATAATACTATTACAGTGAGTCAGCGACGATGCGGGTGTCAATGAATCCCAGACCGATTGATCCTTCGGTCCTAACAAGGCTAACATTGCAGGCCATGCACAAGAGCAAGGACGTGTGACATCACCTGAAGGTTCAAGTAAATAGGTGTCGTGAGCACCTACGCACTTTATTCCACATGCAGGAAGAATATATTATGGTTCTCGTAACTTATTACGAGAAAAAAGTTATGACTTCTAGAAAACCAACATTATCTAATTTTAAAATGAGTAAAATGTGATATGAAGTACTTGATATTGATTATATTCTGAAATTTCAAAAAGAACATATTCACTCATTATTTACGTGACATGACTCATAAACAGAGCGAAGATAACATACTACTACAAGTGAATACTCAATAGCTGATTTTTTCTGATAAAAATCCTAATATTAAACTAGATGAGAGGAGAACTATAAAGTTCCAGGGTAAAACAAAGGGTCTCATCTGAGTCAACAACCGATATGGAAACCCGTAGACTAAACTCATATAAAACAAGTTTACAATATATATGACTTATATATTAAATTTGTAACTCTATAAGTCTCATTTAAACTCATTTATCTAAGCTACATATACAACATTCAACCTGAGTGTTGTCTAACAACAATCCACCATTTTCCTTCTATATGTAATTGAGAAGTTTCAACCCCTGAATCATTTTTCTGGCTCTGAAACTGTGTATATAACCGTTAATTGGGTTTTTTAAAGTTCAAACAATTATCTGATGCTTGGTTGAACAGCTCTTGAACCTGCTTCAGCTCCTTATCTGGTACATATACAACATCAGATATACCCATCAGAATAATATGTAAAAAAATCATTCATCCATGAATCGAGTTATCCAGCCACCTTCAACCCACTCATGTTCAGCCGCCTAAGGTGACAGTCAAAAGACATGTAATTTACCACTTATTAACTCAGTGATGATTCTAGAGGGCCACATCACTAATGGGCAAGGTAATCTCAGCTACCTCTACTCCTCTAGTGTGTGATCATTTTTAAGCTTCAATATTTGTAGTACTATGTAGCATGCAAAGGAATCATACCAAAGATTGCAGGGGCAAAAAGATTAATGTCTAGTTACTGCAGGGGTAAAAAAAATAAGAGCCAATTCATTGAAGGTTAATTGGCTAATATGGATGAATCTGCTGAATTTTGAGAGAATAAGCCAAGAGATACTTATTGTGCAAAACAAGCTGAAAGGCTCTAAATGTATAGAAGGTGCAGGGGGGAGATAAAATCTGTATACATAATTTAATGCATGATGCATACATATCGCAATCACCATCAATAAATAGATCCCAAGTCTGTAATGCCCCCATTGCAATCTTATTTTTTCATTACCTCCTAACCAATATTATTATCAAGCCCTTCCTTGCCTTTTTCAATTTGAGTGTTCATTTTCTTTTCATAATTACTTTGCAGAAAATTAAAGCATGGCATGTTTTTTGAGTTTTTTCTACACTACCTGCACTAAGCTGAATCCATCTTATTACCTTTCAAAAATACCTCTGTTAAATACATCCATAATGCAACTAACTATGCAATGTACTAGACCCTCTAAATGCCAAAGTATGAAACCTAGGTTCTGTACCTGCTGCTTCCAGTTGCTTTTGAAGTTCTTGTCCTACTTCATCATTTTCAGCCTGCGAGCATACATTTCCAAATCATGGATTATTTTTTTAATTATGAAATTTGTTACAAGGATGAGAAAGAAACTAACACTACAACAATATACTAATAAAATGACTTCCACCCAAACACTCAAATATATGATTTTGATCCCTAAAGAAGCAGAAACAGTTCTAAGAAACAGATCCAAACACCCCCTATGCCTCTTCTTGGAAATGAATTCTGGCTACACGACTGAATTATTTGCCAGAGTGACTAGATATGAAGTGTTTAGTTGATCTAAAAGATAATAGTAAGAAACAGAAGGATTAAAGAAAACCTTCTACATTATGTGAAAGATAAAAACAGGGCGGTATTAACAACACTCTGCTAAAAGATCATCAATTTTTTATCTTTGAACAAAAACAAAGTATACCAATTTAGTGGAACATATATACCTGAAGTTCTGCAATTCTTTTTAATTGAGCTTCTTCACCCCCTTCAGACAATGGGAGTGCAGCAACCAATGCATCAAACTACATGCAGAACAAGTTATGAGATAATTAAATACAGTAGAAAAGTTTGAATCTTTTTCCATCATTTGCAATGGAGCCAAAGATTCACTATTTTTTGGCTTGAGAATATGATGGAATAAAGCAAAATGGCTCACTTAACTGTCTGCGCTTCTTTAGTGTGAAGCAACAGTCAGTCCATGTATTTTTCAACGTGATTTTTACTATGGGTCATTCGGAAACAGTCTCTCTGTGCTTTAGTACTGGGGTAAGACTAAGTACATCCGACCCCCCTTACCCCACCGTAGGTGGGAGCCTTTACGGCTCTGGGGTAATGATGATGATGATGAGAAAAGTTTGAATCTGTTTTCTATGTTAACTAGCAAAAATAACGAAGTAAAATCTAGTAAATATAAATAACATAAACCATTCAGTTATATATCCATCTTCAATAACAATTCAGAAACAAACTCTTTGCAGCATATCTTTCATCTAGTTCACAGAAACAAATAGCGTAGCCAGCTAGCTACTCAATCACTTTTTAACTCTTCCTCTTCACTTATCCCAAAGGGAGAATTGTAGTGAAAAAACAGTTCACGCAAACCTATCATCTAATGAAAGAACAAGCACCTAATCGGGGTTCGCAAACCTGTTTAGCAGCTTTGACAAGTTCAGCGGCCATCAGTTTGGATTGCTCCACAGCGTTAGCCGTTGCAGCTGCAGCTGTCGCAGCATCATCGGCAGGCTTTGCAGCAGCGGGAGGGGGTTCTGGATAATTAGCCGACAATCGAACTGGAGAAGCATCTCTCTGAAGCGTTCCGAAAGTATTGAAGGCAAGAGCTGCCGTCGAATTCACATGTTCTTGCAACTGCGATATTATATCCATCTTCAACACCTGCTGTAGGCCAGTCCCGTATGTTTGAAGGCCTGGGGTGAATAATTAAAAATAAGCCTAATCTTATCCAAACTCAAAGGATAAGTAATTGAAGTTGATACATTTGATCAGTCCAAATCATTTTTTGGTCGCTGACTAGCAATGTTATCAACTCCTAAATTTACCCTCCTGTGACATGATCACTCTGAATCATTCTTCTGCTCTAAGATCTCATTTTGAGAAGGACCTTCGGGATTCACTTTCTCACAAAAACAAACTTCTCAATCGAACCTTTTTGACTTCTCCTTTTCGTTTCTTTCTCCCATCCAGATTTGACCATATTTATTAAACCTTGTAATTAATTAAACCTATAAATTTAACTACAATTGAAAATTTTTACCTAACAAAATAAACAAATTACACACTCAATACATAACAATTACAAATTAAGAAATATTCTGTATGAAATAACACTCAACTAATTATTATTAAGTATTCATTATTATTTATAAACATTAAACAACTATGAATTAAATCAATTTACCGATTAATAAAGTAACCAAATAATCATGCATTTGTACTAATCAAATAATAAATTAATCAATAATTGAAAAGGTATAAAACTGTTATTCTGTAAAAAATTGCCGGAGGTGTACCTGATCTCCTGAAGCCTTGGAGAGTTGGAGCTGGATTGAGAGTCTGAGAAGTAAGAATCCGGACAAGATTCCGATTTCCGAAAAGGGAGAGAAGGAGGCAAGGAGCAGGGCGGCAAGACTGGCAGCCTGGCAGGCTAAAGACCGTTTTAACGGACGTGAAGAGTTGACGGAACTCCCGATTGAAGTCTCCGTGTAACTCATATTTTTCGTATTTCGGACCTTTGGCTGATTGGACGGGACATAGTTAACAATTTAGGCCTAAAAAGATCATTTCATTTGGGCCTGGGCCCCCACCCCCCAAGGCCGCCCCAGTCTGCTGTATCGACATTGATAAAATGCAAAGGAAGCGTCTTTTTCACTATCAAACAATTTGTGGAGAAGGAAGCTTTCGGATTTTGGGGCCAAAATGGACACTGAGGTTTTTAATGAAGAGCGTATTGGACATTAAGTTTTTTTTGAGATCAAATAAACATGAAATTAAACTTTTCAGACCTCATCGCCCACCCCCTAACATTTCCCGTTAACATCTTCTCTTCCCCGTTATCACCCTGCGATTACAATCTCCCTAATTGAAATTTCTAACCCTAACTCACTTCCATGGCTAATAAGTGTGAGATTGTGCGACTGAGTTGAGAAGATTAGAAGGTGTTCAACTGCACGACCAAGGTTACAATACGTACGACTAATCTGAGGTAATCTTTGAGTGTTGTTTTTGTTTGTTACAATGACTGGGTTGGTTAATCTCAGATTTAACCATAGCGGGAGGTGGGTTATGAAACCAAAGTTACAGTATGTGAATGGGGACGCTGATACAGTTTATGGGTTTGACCCTGATTATATGTGTTATCATGACATTTCAAGAAAATACAAGGATGACTTGGGGTTTAAAACACTGAAAAATATATATGTTTTAGAACCTGGAAAGGATTTGGACAATGGACTTTTCTTAGTTCAGGATGATGACACTATAAGGAAAGTGTTAAATCGTATAAGGAGATTTTCTTGGATTGATACTATAGAGCTATATGCTGACCATCAACTGGACGAACCCATTTTGATTCCCCTGATAGAAGGTTCATTTTCTGAAATTGGTAACCATGACATTGGTGATGAGAATGATGGTGGGGTGGGTGATGAGTCTGCCAATACAGATTGGAGAGACCAAAGTGATGAAGTGAATACAAGTGGTGTCCCAAATGGGTATGTTACAGATGAAGAATCAAATAGAGGCTCAGAAGATGAAGAGAGCAACAATTCTGATCCATCCTCTGATATTGATGGTACAATCAATTACAATGCAACAGATGGGTCAGATTGTTTTATGAATGGAATGACCTTTGCAGATGCTGAAGAGGCTAGGACTGCAATTGCTAATTATGGTGTGAAATATGGTTACAAGCTGAAAATCAAACCAAATGAGAAGAATAGACTGGCTGTTAAATGTTTGAATGAGGAAGGCTGCCCATTTAGATTATGGATTTCTCAAGATGGGAAGAACTATGGGTTGGCAGTGAAGATTTGTAACACTGAGCACAAGTGTTTCCGACACTATTCTATTCCTAGTGCAACTCAAAAGTGGCTTGCAAATTACTTTAAAGGGCACCTGGAGAGAAATCCTAGCTTTCGAGTTGCTGACATGAAAGAGGAGACAGAGAAGAAGTTGAAGATAAATGTTAGCTTGTATAAATGTAAAAGGGCTAAAAGGTTGATTATTCAAGAAATGGATGGTAGTTATAAGGCTGAGTTTGGGTACCTAGAAGCATATGCTGCCACATTAAAGAGGAGTAATCCAGGTTCAAAAGCTGAAATTGAACTCTGCAGTGAAGCATTGAAAGAAGGGAGGAGAGTATTCAAGAGAATGTTTGTATGCTTTGCTGCTTTGAGGCAGAACTGGCTGGCTGGCTGTAGAAGAATCATTGGTGTGGATGGTTTCTTTCTAAAGGGTGTTTGTAAGGGTAATCTGCTGAGTGCAGTGGGGTTGGATGGAAATGGGCAGATGGTCCCTATAGCATGGGCTGTCATTGATAAAGAGAATAAGTCTAATTGGAGGTGGTTTTTGAGTTGGCTTGTTCAGGAGCTACACCTGAATACTGGTGGTGAGTTAACACTTATTTCTGATATGCAAAAGGGGCTGATTAGTGCTGCTCAAGAGGTCATTCCAGATGCAGAGCATAGGTTCTGTGCCCGACATGTGTATGCTAATTGGTCAAAAAATGGAGAGGCAATAAGTTTTGCAAAAAGTTTTGGATATGTTCCTGGAGCACATATGAAGAAGAGCTGCAGCTGAATCTTAAAAAGCTTGGAAAATTGAGCACTGAAGTTGCTTCTGACCTTTTGAAGTATCCAGTTCAAACTTGGTGTAGAGCATACTTTAGTAATAGGTGTTCATGTTGGATGGTTGATAATAACATCACAGAGTCCTTCAATTCATGGATCCGGGAAGCTAGGTCAAAACCTATTGTAACCATGCTGGAAGATATACGATTGAAGGCAATGAAAAGAATTTCAGAGTTCAAGACAAATCATGATAAGTGGATAAACGATTGGTCTCCCTTATGCATGGAGTACTATCAAGACAATAAGGAGGCTGCTAGTGGTTGCAATGTTATATTTAATGGGGATGTGGGGTTTGAGATTGGAGAGGGGACAGATAAGCACACAGTTGTGTTGGATAAGATGGTCTGCACTTGTAGAGCATGGGAACTGACTGGAATACCATGCTTACATGCCATATGTGCTTTCTATTATAGGAAGGTAGATCCTATCACCTACATTTCAAGATGGTATCATAAGGAGACTTATATGGCAGCATATGCAAATGCTTTGCAACCGGTATCTGGAAAAGCTTTCATGAAGGTTGATGATTATGAACCCATTTTACCTCCCCCAGTGCCAAACCTACCTGGCAGACCAAAGAAGAACAGGGTTAGATCATCTACTGAGGTCAAAGGATCTGGAAGTGCTTCTACATCTGCCAGTGCTACACCTCAGACATCATCAAGAAAAGGGAGACTACAAACTTGTGGGATATGCCATAAGGAGGGCCATAAGAGAGCTACATGTCCTAATAAAGATAAAGATGTAAGTAGTACATGACTTTGAAGATGTAAACTGCAATATTGATTTATTGTGTTTTCATGACTTTTTTTATCTGTTTCTTAGGCAAGTGTTCAAGGAGCAGAAGGGAATGTACCTATACCTGTGAAGAGACCTGCTAGTGTTGCTTTTTCAGCAATTCCTACCACTACAGAATCAGCTCCACCAACAAATCCACACACTAATGCTAAAAGGAGTACTGGTAAGTCTAAAGTGACATGTAGAAGAATAGGAAGGAAGATAAGTAAATAATTTGTAACAGGCTTTGGGTGCCATGTGGATGTGAACACTGGGGAGAAGACTTTAAATGTGAGTATCAATAGGTTTCCAGTGTTATGTAAGTGGTTTAGTTTGTTGATGTATTGAAATAAGTTTTCTTATTTCTAATTTTACCTTCATGTACTTGTTTATGCTTGTAGCCTGGGATGAGCAGTGAGGAAATAGTTTCAGATTTCCAGCCTGAAATGCCACATGACCCTGATGTTACAGTCAGATTTGCAATCCCAAATGAAAAAGATATCAGAGGAGCTGCCCGGGCTGAGAAGCAGTTGGATGTGCCAACATATAGAACAATACCTTTCAAGGGTGATGGTACAGAGGTGCATAATCCAACAAACCTACCTTTTCAACCACCTGGTTTGCAATGGAATGGGAATGCAGCAATCAGCTCTAAGCAGTTGTTACAGAAGATGCAGATCAGGAGGTCGGGTTCCATTCCAAAGTGATGAATGAAGACTCATATGTTTCATTAGAACACTTTTGGATGCAAATATGGATGAATGAAGACTCATATGTTTCATTAGAACACTTTTGGGCACTTTGTATTTATTAGCTTATTAGCTTTTTGGCAATGTAGTCGTTTGAAGACTCACTGGAAGTTTAGGTGTTTTGTATGAAGTTTTAGTACTTCTGGCAATCTAAGGAACTGACTGCAATTATGGGGTGCTAAATTAGGGCTTATAATGCTTTTTTTTGTATTTTGTAACCTCATTAACAATCAGTATTATGATCCCTAATGATGTGAAGTTATGATATAACATCTTTTTTTGTTTATATATGTTGTTTATTCAACCAGACCATGTTGGCATGAGGGCTTTCTTCTACAGATTGTATTGTGGTTATGGTATTGGCTCTGATTTCAAACTGCTCTCAAACTGGTGTTATCAGTACACTACTTCATTTGTGGTGTTATCAATACACTGCTCTCAAACATAGTAATACAATCAGACCAACTTATTAAAAACCAAACCAAAGTGTTAACTTAAATTCAAATTCTAACAGCAACATGTATTCAAACTGTTTACAAGGTCATAACCAAACCATTTTACAAGAAACTGAAACTAACATACTAACACACATAATACTACAATAAGGACACATAACAACACTACAATAACATAATTATTCTTCATTTTAGTTTTGCTTTCCAATTCCAGATGGGCTGCATCATTCATACTGTTGACTTCTTCAAGTTCACTCTCCAACTTTTGAGCAACACTATCACATTCCAATTCAAACATTGCAGATTGGAGCCTCCTATTCTCCCGTTTCAGCTCATTGATAACATGCCTTGCTCTGTCCGTTAATGGCTCATCATGCCATTCAAAGAAGCCACATCCATCCTTCTGAGTATACACAAGAGTATGAATATCAATATGAATATAAATAAATTATACATATTCATGATCTTCTCCAGTTCTCATATGTGAAAAGAACAATTAAAAGCATACCTCATAATTAGGACATCCATGAAATCTTCTCCCTGGATTCTTGTCAGTCCAAAGTGGTGCCTTGACGCGAGTTCCATTTGCATTCATGCATCTGCAAAACCTAGAACGCCCAGAATACGGTCGCTCATAGATGCTTCGAAGCTTCACTGAATCACCGGACTCAGATTTCCGTGCCTCAGACGACCTTGATGCTGAAGGACTAGCCGACATCACTGCTTTCTTCTTCATAATCTGTCTCAGATTGTATTTATTAGGTATATATCAATTAGGTCTAATCGCAGGGTGATAACAGGGAAGAGAAGATGTTAACGGGAAATGTTAGGGGGTGGGCGATGAGGTATGAAAAGTTTAATTTCATGTTTATTTGATCTCAAAAAAACCTTAATGTCCAATACGCTCTTCATTAAAAACCTCAGTGTCCATTTTGGCCCTTTTCCCTATATTAATCTTCAAATATACCTATGTATATGTACACACGCATCAATATTCGTTATAGACATTTTGAATTTCCTTCAGGCATTCATATTTTGTCTCGTCTAATTTGATACATAACTTTTGTCTTTTGTGAAGTGTGTATAAAATGTTTGTGGACCAATTATTATTTGTTCAATTGTTTGTTTAGTTTTTTTGTGTTGTCCAATAGTAAAGAGTAGATTGAACTTCGAAGCCCATTGTTAGGCACAAAAACTTGCTCAATTTTAATTTTATTAGGCGTAAAAATTTGATATTTGCGCAATTAACACAATTTAATTAATTTTCTCATCTCGTAAGCCATGCCACACATTTGACACATGTCACTCACCTTGTACTAAGAGATTAAATATGGCTAGAAGAACTATATCATTTTTTTCTTAATATAGGTCACTACGAAGATCAAATAAAACATGGGTGAACAGTAGCTTTTTATTTTGTATTCCAGTAGCAGAGTGATGTAACTCCCGTTTAAAAAAATGTAATTTTCGTTGATAAGAAATGTAACTTGAGTCAACTTTTAATGTAAGTGGTCTAAAATGAAATATAAGAAAAAACTAAATTGATTTCAATGTAAACAATGAAAAATTGATCCTAATTACTCAATTACTTTTGTAATTAGTGAATATGTTTTATTTTTAATATTAGGGCCATAAAAATGATGTAATAAAATAGATTATATATATATATATATATATATATATATATTATAAACATTGGTTTCAATGTAAAATTGATACTAATTGACCAATTACTTTTTGTAAAAGGTGAATAAGTTTTTTAATATTAGGGCTATAAAAATGATATAGTTAAAACATATTTTTTTCGTAGTGTAACTCACTTACATTAAGATGTAACTCACGCATAAATAGATGTAACTCATGCATATATGAAGAAATAACTTCATATAATATCTTTATATAATATAAAGTAACGGTGGGTGCACAATTGTTGGAGGGAAAAATCTCACCCAAAATAAGAGTAAAAATGTAAATTGGATTGTCCTAGAAACAATTGTTGGAGGCAATCTATTAAAATGGTTAAAATGCATAGTAAATCTGTTATCACCAAAGTTACAAGATTGATCATATCAATATCCTGTAAATCTATAAATGGATTCTCATCATTTATATCCATAGTAACAAATGGGTAATATTTAGTTTAAACACTAATATGGATTCTCATCGACGCTGTGAACTATACAACGTGTTTTCAACCATGAGCGTGGAAAATATTTAATTAAATGATTCAAAAAATGCAATAATAATATTTACTTTATTAATTGACTACTTGAATTGGTATAGTTCAATTTATTAACTCCAGATATAATAAATGTTTTAAATTATTTGATCGCTACTATAAATAGAGTAATAAAAAATATACATATTTACTACTATTAATATTGAATATTATACCTTAAGTTTCCCTTATATATGTCCCGTAAGGTTTTTGATAATTTCTATTCATGTAATCATGTAAGAGCCCATTTGATAACCCTGTTTTTCGGTTTACCAATCAACTTTTTCATGAAACACGTAACTTTGTTTTCGCGCGTTAAATTGTGTAATGATAACAAAAAGTAAGGTTGAAATTACTTTAAAATATATTTTATTTAAAAAAAGATAACAAAAATTATATGTAAAAATAACTAAAATGATCCTCTACAGTAACTCAACAGAATAATCCAATTCAGTCACAATTTCATATATTTCACCAGAATCAACTGATTCAACCATTTTGATATTACCAAACGGGCTCTAAATATTACTACCTTCGTCCCTTAAAACTTTGCCAAAGTTGACCGGTATAGTGAATAATAAAGTAAAAATTATGTGGTTGAGATTTGTGCAAAGGATAGAGAATTAACAAAAATCATAAATTAATTGATTAAAAGGGAAAGTGATAAAGTTTTTTGGGACGTCCTAAAAGGGAAAGATCACAAAGTTTTAAGGGACAGATGGAGTATTACGTACGTAGTAGTATTTAATTTTTGGAATCACTCTTTATCATTTTTGTTATATAATATATAGTAGTAAAGTTGTCGCATGTTTTGAATGGAAATTTGCCTCCAATTCAAGGGAGAATGTGTAAATTAATATGCCTTCATAAAAATAAATATCGATCACTTAATTAGAGTTGTAATGCAAGTTACCATTTAAACAAGAAAGCATTTCCAATAACTACACTACTATACGTGTTAAGTTTTTATAATAAGTGAGTTAATTTTAATTTTTTATGAAATAATAAATTAATACTCCGTAATAATTAAAATATGGAATTGTAAGTAAATTTTTCGGTAAACCCTAAATAAATTAAATGGTTGTACTGATTAATTGTTCAATGCTACTAACAAAATATGACCTCCGTTTTAAAAAATTAATATAAAAAGTAGTATGTAAATTTGGCAGCCATTCAATTAACATTTCAATAAGAATTCCTCATATTTTATGCTTAGTGTTTCTAGGACGTTTTTATTTGGACTATTTTCAATTCCATACCAAATCGAATCAGACCAGATCAAATCAGACTAGATTTAAATGAATCATATAAGATTTCTATAGTTATAAATACACAGAGACCGGACATTTATAAGATCAGACTTAAACAGATCAGACCAGGTCATACCAACCTAGCAAATTTCAATCCAAGTAAAAACATCTTTAATCCATCATCACGTGTAAGATTATAAATGATCATTGGTAAATGTAACATTTGGAGTGCAAATTGAGATATAATTGAACTTAATTAAAGAAAGCTTACAAGGAGTACAATTTTAATCATCTGGGAAATCAAAATGTGCTGACTGATTTCAATAAGTTTGATCAGGAATCATAACAACTTTTGCATCATATTGCCCAAAATGTAATTTTTTTTATAGAACTATATCTTTTATTTATTACTCATTCCGTCCTATTTTACCTATCTAATTACTTCGCTTTTGTGTTGTTCTAAAATGAGTAACACATTTCCTTCTTTGGAAGAAATATGTGGTTTGCAACATTTCATTTTATCATATTCAAATCTCCCCCATAACTTTTATATTTTCAACCACTTTATTAATAAATGTGACAAACTAAAGTAAGTCACATAAAATGGAAAAAAGGTAGTACATTGGAGGGGAATTTATACAATTATCTAAATAGGAACATCAATTCACTTTATTTTTTAAAAGAAGGAACATAATATGTAAAATAACACATACATTTAAGAAAAAGTAAAAAATAGCTCGCATTTTAACTATTTAGCTAGGCAAAAGATGTTCAATTTCTATAATGATTGTGTCATGGTGCTATTGTTTAGAGATTAGAGAAGATGTTCAACCTATCATCTCTAACGGGGCTCAACAATTTTGTGTGCCCCAATTCTCTTAATAGTAGTAAAATAATGACAAATGATCCGATGCGCACCAGATCAGATATCATGTATGACCAAACCTGTTTGCGGGACATTCAAGTCAATTTTTTGATAAAATTTTGTAATTTTGTTCTTAGTGAACTTTAGATTATGTTCACAAAAATTCAATTTAAAATTCCATCAAAACTGAAAGTCACTTAAATAAATTATTGAAAAACATCGTGCCTACACTTCACATAAAAAGCGCAATATTTTTCAATAATTTATTTAATTGACTTTCCGATTGAATTTTAAGTTGAAACTTTGTTGACATAATCTACTGTTCATGAAGAACTTTTTTCACAAATTTTATCAAATACAAACGGGCTTAGCCGTACAAAAAAGCTGAACTTTTTTCACATGACCATATCACATCTCATAAAGTAGTAGTTATAATTTTGAAAAAATGATTTATATAATAGAAGAAGTAAAAATAACTCAATTAAAAGCACTCACCCCCTGCTTTTAGATTTTAGCTCTATATTGTTTAATTGGGAAAATTGTCAAATAGGTCCTCGAACTTTCATAAAAAGGTCAATTAAATCCTTCTATAGGAGGTTCTGTCCGACCGTCGCGATTTGGGGCAGTTCCCGGTGGAATTTTTTTATGAAATGTTTTGAGCATCTTATTCACCAAGTCTAGTTTACTCATACCAAATGTCAGCTAAAAATTCAATCAGGAACTCATTCAAATTAATTCTTGAAGATAACTACGCATTTTTGCATTCTCGGATTAATTTGAATGCGCTCCCAATTAAATTTGTAGCTGAAATTTGGTATGAGTAAACTAGACTTGATGAATAAGATGCTTAAAAAATTTCATCAAAAAATTCCACCAGGAACCGCCCCAAATCGCGACGGCCGGACAGAGTCTCCTATAGAAGGACTTAATTGATTTTTTTATGAAAGTTCGAGGACATATTTGACAGTTTTCCCTGTTTAATTTTAATAGAATCACCTTTTTGAAAATGATAAAGTTATGTATTTAAAGCATAAAGTTGAAAAATATTTTTTAAATATTTGCAAATACTCCCTAAACAGACGTGGTCTAACTCAATGTTACATGTGATAAACATTATCTTTAATCCCATCAAATAGAAGAGGTCATTTCAAATTTTGACGAAAGCAATGTTCAATCATCATTTCATCTGTCATGGTAACAAACAAAAGTCACAAACAATCTTTGTTTGCACCAAGTGAACACATATATACCAAATCATGTTTTTATATAAGGTTGATTGTATGTTGCCATGCATGTCAAGGATGATCTCAAGACGTATTTGAAAATTCTTATATGCGATGATAGGGGATGTACTGTGATCACCTCCAATAATGTGGTCTACAAAGAAGTTGTCAAAACTTATTACTTATGATCATTTTTATAAACTACTAATTAAAAAATGAATGTGTTCTTTTGCATAACTTCATGAGGACAAAAGAAACACTTCAAATTGTAATATCACGGTTTTCACTATCACGTATTGAAACTAGCATCATTATATAATTAAAGTTAAAAATATACTACGTATATAGTACACCATCCATCCTGAAATTAAGTTCCACATTTGCTTTCGGGATGTCCCAAAATAAAGTTTCTACTTGAAATTCTTTCCATATGTGATAAGTTTATAGAATTCAATAACCATTTCATGTTCAAATCATATTGAATTGATGCATGTTACCTCCATTTCACTATTCATCTATTCTCTGTACTATAATAATTTTGGTATTACATCTTTAAATAACTTAATGGTGTTTTTAAAAAGCCAACTTTATTTCCTATTCTATCATAACACCTGTGAAGTCAATTCTGAAATTTAATTTTAGAGCGGAGGGAGCACTATTTATAAACAAAATATTATTCTACTCTAAATAGCCCGTGCATCGCACGAGTACATCGTCTAGTTAAATGTAAACATTGAAAACAAGGAGTTTAATATTTTTCAATTAATTTACGTAAATAGTGAATATGTTTTGTTTTTAATATTAGGGTCATAAAAATGTTTTAGAGAAAAATTCCCAAAAAAAATTGCCCAAAAAAATCTTTATACTCCGTATTTGGGGGGCACGTGGTCAGCATAAGCCGTCAAAGCCTTCCTGCCTTCCTGCTCTATTTTCATTCGCCGCCACCGCACAGCCTTGGCCGCTTCCTTCACCGCCATCCCGCCAGTGTACTACGGCCGAGCCTCCGGTGTTCCACCATGACAGCTCTGCTGATTCAAGGGCCATCCATTTTCTCAGCACAGCCTCTCACTGAACCACCCAAATGTGTAAAAGGTTTCCAATCCCTACCAAATTCATCAAATCTCAGACTTCCAAAGTCAAGGATTTTCAATGCCAGAGTCTTAGCAGGTAATAAAACGTCTATTACCATTTCCGAAGAAGAAGATGCAATTGGGAATTTCCTGAATAGAGACTATAAATGGGGTTTCAATCAAGAGATTGACTCCTTTGCGCTCCCAAAAGGTCTATCCGAGGAAACCATTAGGTTTATTTCTGCTAGAAAGAACGAACCCGATTGGATGCTTGAATTCAGATTGAAATCATATGAGAAATTTCTGAATATGAAAGAACCAAAATGGTCTGATAACAGGTATCCAAAGATTGATTTCCAGGATATCTGTTACTACTCCGAACCTAAAAATAAACCAACTTTGAATAGTTTAGATGAGGCTAACCCTGAGCTGATTAAGTACTTTGAAAGGCTAGGCATTCCTTTGAACGAAAGAAACCGATTAGCTAATGTAGCAGTTGATGCTGTACTTGACAGTGTTTCAATCGCAACCACACATAGGGAAACCCTAGAGAAATCTGGAGTAATTTTCTGTTCAATTTCTGAAGCCATTAGGGAATACCCAGATTTGGTCAGGAAATACTTGGGAAGAGTAGTTCCCCCTGAAGATAACTTTTACTCTGCATTGAATTCTGCCGTGTTCAGTGACGGGTCATTTGTGTACATTCCTAAAAATACGAGGTGCCCGATGCAAATATCGACCTATTTTAGGATAAATGCTATGGAAACTGGCCAATTTGAGAGGACTTTGATAATTGCAGAGGAGTCCAGCTTTGTGGAGTATTTGGAAGGGTGTACTGCTCCTGAGTATGATACTAATCAGTTACACGCGGCAGTAGTTGAGTTGTTCTGTCAAGAAAGTGCTGAGATTAAGTACTCAACCGTCCAAAACTGGTATGCCGGTGACGAAATGGGAAGAGGGGGCATATATAACTTTGTGACGAAGAGGGGACTTTGTGCGGGTCGGCGGGCAAAGATATCATGGACACAAGTGGAGACCGGATCCGCAATTACGTGGAAGTACCCGAGTGTTGTTCTTGAGGGAGATGAGTCGGTTGGCGAGTTTTATTCGGTTGCGTTGACAAATAATTGTCAGCAAGCTGATACAGGGACTAAGATGATACATAAGGGGAAGAACACAAGGAGTAGGATAGTCTCTAAGGGTATTTCTGCCGGACGATCCTGTAATTCTTACAGAGGGCTTGTTCAAGTGATGTCAAGTGCAGATAATGCGCGCAACTCTTCACAATGTGACTCTATGCTTATTGGAAATAATGCTGGAGCTAACACTTATCCTTACATTCAGGTTACTTCCCTATAAAATTTACTGAAAATAATATTTGCCTTTTATTATCATGTTGTTTCGTGGTCTGAATGTCTAACTTTTTCATGCGAGTGTGTGCTGTTTTTTAAATGTTTAGAGCCAGTTTGGTAATGTTTAAAATGGCTGATTCAGCTGAAGTTGTGGCTGAATTTGTTGAACGATTTCGTAACAATTTGTGCTTTGTACAAATATATATGAGTTTCATCCATTTTGAGCAAAAAAGCAAACTCCAACACTACATTTTCTCATAATAAGATGATTTTTCCATTGCAGTTTAACCAAGTGTTTGGTGAAAAAAATTAGCTTATAACCCAAACATGATGCTTACCGAACTGGCTCTTAGTGCAACAGTTTCTGTATGTGCATATGTAGCTATTAAACCTTGTGATCGCGTAATGATGTTTCCTTGTGGTTTATGATGGTAGGTTTTCTTTAAAAAACATTACGGTAGCATGATATCATTGAACTGACAAAAAAGTTTTTCATAGAAATGTGCTCCCACAAGGAACTATAAGCTCTATTTTAGTAGGCCTTCAAAGTAATGTTGTAGAAAGTGTTAGGAGGCAGATTGGTAAAAACGCTTGGCCTAAATCTATGCAGCTGTCAAGAACTCGAGCACCTTATCAGTTAAACAATTCAAATAATAATCATAAATCATTTTCCTTTGCATTCTCCAAGGTTAAACTGAACATAAGAAACTACCTTTCCTTAGAACTTTCCCTTTCCCTGTCATTTGCATGGATCAAACACAGCCAAAACGAAACAGTGGGAGTAGTAAAAATGAATCTGGAAACTGTCATTTTCTGTGAGCATAAAGGTGAAATTGTCACTTTACAGACTTCCAGCATAATTGTATGGCACTCCTATATTATCCGTGTAATGGCTCATCAATTCATCATGTTCCAACTATTATGCAGTATTCTGTTGATTTAATTTACTACCTCTGTTCCCACTAAATATGAGCACTTTCCTAAATTGAACTCCACTAAGTTTTGTTTTCTCATTTTCTCTTTATTTATCGTTTCACCTTTTACTTTTGTGAACTTATTTGAGTTTTTCTTACTTTTTGGAGGGTTGAATCGTAAATCAACCACTTTACTATGTATTTTCTTATAATCCATGTCAAATCCAAATGTATTTTACATTATGGGATGGAGGGAGTAACATTTTACAAGTCTCCTTCCTCTTAGGATTCGTTTGGAAAATGTTTTTCCGAAAAAAAAATCATTTTCTTGGTGTCTTCTATTTCCATATATGGTGGTTTAGCTGTAAAGTTTTTACAGGCAAAGAATCCCACAGCTCGGATAGAACACGAAGCGACAACATCAAAAATTGGGGATGACCAACTGTTCTACTTCCAGCAGAGGGGAATCGATTATGAAAAGGCCATGGCGGCAATGATATCTGGGTTTTGCAGGGACGTTTTCAATGAGCTCCCTGATGAATTTGGTGCGGAAGTGAACCAGTTGCTGAGCTTGAAACTCGAATCATCTGTGGGTTAGGCAAAGCATCAAGGCACGAGGATATTCCCGATAAGTAATGGTGGTCTGCTTGATAAATTACGAATAATATTTACATAATAAATTTTTACTTAGTTTCCACATATACCTTTGCCTGAAAATCTTTGTAGTATTTACTGCTGATAGATTCAGTTGTTGTAATTAGTTTAAAATTTCACCACAAACTATATTGTGCACTCTCGTATGTACGTGTATGTCTAGTTGTATTTTTGTAAATTACTTGTAGTTGCAATGCTAATTTACTCTTCTCTTTATGTGCTTTTTTATTAATTTATTAAGGCCATTTTTCTTCTTATTACACGCTTATTTGCATATGATTGTGGCTCAATTTTCTTTTCAAAGATCACGAAAAGATGACTAGTTCGATGCTATGTAGACAGTTACTCTGGAACAAATAATAAGACGGTTTATGTTGAAATTTTGAACGCGTTTGGTAACACCGAAATAGGTTGAATCAGCCGATCTGGTGAAATTTATGAAGTTCTGACCGAAGTTGCTGTATTGGCTTATTCTGCTGATTTATGAAAAAAAATTATTTAAAATATATTTTAATAATAAAATAAATTAAACAGTATATGAAAATTAGCTAAAATGGTCATCTAGAGTAATTTCAGCTAATACAGCTAGAAAAATATTTTCATTCTTATTTTTTCTTATTATTACACAATTCAGCGTGTGAAATCAAAAGTTACGTGGTTCGTTAAAAAGTTGGTGGATAAGCCTAATAAGCCGAAAAATAGAGTTGCCAAGTAGTCCTGCTAGCTTTTTGGCTAATAAGTCTAATAAGGCTATGTTTGGCGGACATAAGTTCCTGCCTTCTAGCTTTTGTATTATTTAAAAAGTGTATAAAAGCTTCTAGTTATATATTTGGCACGCCAATTTTTAAGAGCTTTTATAAAAATAAAAGATCTTTTTTGAAAAAAAAACTTTTTTGAGATGCTACAGTGAGTAGCATCTCAGATAAGTCCGTAGCTTCTAGCATTAATTAGTCCTAATAGCTTGTATACCAAACAGAGCCAAATCAAACAGTCGACTTTTTACCAAACAGCTACTGCCTTTTCTTTTTAAGATATTTCCAGTCACTAAAAGCTAACAGTTACTAAAAAGCTCATAAAATTATCTTTTCAGCTAGTTGTGCCAAACATACCCTATATAATGTTGTCTTATAGTCTTATACTCATACTACGTATAAGTGTATAACAATATAACATTTTTGTCATGCAAGTGATGCAACATTAGTGTTATGTTATACTTAGGGGTGGACTTGGGTCCAGGTCGGGCCTAGGCCCGAGCGGGCCGGCGTTTCAGGAGTGGTGGACCCGGGACCGGCCCGGGTAACCACCGGGTCCGGTCCGGGTCCGGGCCGGGCCCATTATCAATTTTTTTCCCCTCTTCCTAATTAACCCCCCTCCCACCCCCAACCCCCAAACCACCCCAAATGGCCCAAAATACCCAGCCCAACCCGAAAATTTAAAAAAAATTGAAAAAAAAATAGTTTTGGCCCGAGCCCGAACCAAAAAATCCACGGGTCGGGCCTACCCGGACCGGTCACTGACCGGGCCACCGGGCCGGAACAGTACCGGTCCCGGGCCGGTTCCGGGTTGGGCCACCTGGCTCGAGTCCATATCTTACTTATACTCGTACTATGTAAAAAGTTTGAAAGATGACAATATTATGTTTGTGCACACCCTTGTACACACCTTATACACACCATGTTTGTGAAGTTTTTTTTTGTCTGTGAATCCGGTTCACAGACAATATTATGTTTGTGCAAAACATTGTCTGTGAATCGATGTTCACAGACAAAAAAAAACTTTCACATACATAGGTGTGTACAAAAGTGTGTATAAGAGTGTGTACAAACATCATTTTTGAAATAGCAATTGATTTCATGTACTACATTCTCAAAATTTATAAAAAGACGAAAGCTAGTACTACGTATGATACATTTTCAGGACGAAAGTTCGTATTATTTAATTAATCAACCACCTTTCTCGTTTTCATTCGGTTATGGTAGGTGTACACATTTTTATATGCACTTTTTGTACATGCGTCTGTCTCACGCACACACAGTTGTCATTTTGCTGCCACTTCTCTAAAAGGATGTATTTTTGTGCCTAATAATAGATTTAACCCCTTCTATTAAAAAAACTCGTGCCAATTTCTGCATGATCGCATTTGACATCATTTTTTGATATAAAAATATGCACTTCAACAACCAGAATATAGTAATGCACTTATGGTGATTAGGGACGTTTGTACACTGCTATTTATATCCTCTGGGATGTATGTTGTTATGCTGGAATTCCTGGAAATAAAATTTTGTGTTATTAAGTATTAACTCATCACCCGAAATGGGAAATTAATAAAAAAATCTCAAATTCTTTCATTGCAGCAATTACATTTTGAGCATAACATTTTTTTAACTTCTGTAGTAGGCAACATGGAAGAAATGATCATTCATTTTAACAAGCATTTCATTGTATTTCTTTAGAAGTGATCCTGTAAGCTTCTTTTGTTTATTTAAAGGTGTACACCTCAATGATCTGTTTTATCTGTAAAGTGTAATCTACTTCAAAAATCTGCACTCTGACTAATGTTGAGTCGGTATGTTATCGGGTGAAAAGTCCTCTGTCTTTGTTTCCTCCCCAAAGGAACTTTGATGCATGAAGATAACACATTTGTCTTCGTATCTCATTTATAAGATTTGAGAATAATTTTTTGATGTCCCGAATGTTGTGCTTCTATACCACTTTTCATTACTATCCTTCTAAAGTAAACGCGTTGATCGTGTTGCTCCTATGTTGACCTTGATGATCGACCATCTAGCTCTGAAACTTACCTGCAAAATAATCACTACAGTGGTACTAAAAATATATTATTAGCTCGAGACGCGTCAGACGCTGTCCTAAGGATTTTATTTCCGACGTACGAATTTTTTCCCAAGAATATAACAAGTCCTTCAGTTATAAAACCAATAGCAGAACTAACGAGAAGAAAATAGTGTATGAACTCAGTAATAAAGTTATGATTTTAGTAGCAATTTTGTGAAGAAGAAAAAAAACTTTGCCGAAAAGCATAAAAGCATTAAGATGCACTTTGTTAGCACACATGCATGCTAATACTTCCTCCAATCTATTAGGACGTCCCCTAATCGATTTAATTTTTGTCGTCTGTGTGTAATATATTTGTTTGTGTACACAGACAACTTAAACCTGATATTAGTTGTTTGTACATACAAAAGTGTTTGTACTCATACATTTTGTCTGTGTATACCAACATTGATCTCCATGCAATCACGTTCTACAAAAAAGTACATCAATCAATGTGATTTAGAAGCAAATCAAATTTTGTTCATGGACAAATTTTAGGAGGTGTATGTATTTGTACTTTTTTGTCTGTGTGAAGGATAAATAAATAAGGTGTAACCTAGAGTGTAACCCAAGCAAATTTTTTATAACCAAGGTTAGGGATGGATTCGGTTCGGGCCACCCGGCCCGTGACCCGGCCCGGCCCGGTACTGTGCGGGCCCGGGACCGGCCCGGTCAGGCGGTCCGGGACCGGGTATGGGCCCGAACCGGGGGGAAGGGGTGGGGCGGTCTCGGTTCATCATTTTTGTGACCCGGCCCGGCCGGGTCGGGCCCGGGTCCGGGTCTATTTTTAAAAAAAAAACTTTTTTTTTATTTTTGGCTACTAGCCGTTGAGGGCTTGGGGGTGGGGCTGGGGACAACCCAAACGGCTATATAGCCGTTGGGTGGGGTAAAGGGGGGTCCGGGGGGTTGGCTGGTAGGGGTGGGGGGGTGGGGGGTAAAAAAACCTATAAATTCTCCTACTCTTAAACATTTTTTCATATCTCTTCTCCAATTCTTCCTAAATCTTATTCTTAACTCTCTACTCTCTAATTCTCTTATTCTCCAATATATTATATATCTACTCTCTAATTCTCTTCTCCAAGAAGTTAAGATGGAAAATCAAAATGCCATTATACGGTATAATTTTGATAAGCAGAAGGACCCGAAGACCAGGATGTGGTACGCAATTTGTAAATGGTGCGGAAAAAAATGTATTATGGGGGCTTCAGGCGGATTCGGGATGGCAATCAAGCATATGAAGTCATGTGACAAAGCCAAAGGATCGAGAGGTGCGGGAAGTTCCGATTGATTACAATTTTCAAAATGTTTATCTCTTAAAGTTTGTTTTAATTTTCAAATGTAGTTTCTATTTCATTTCAAATAAATGCAATTGAAGTTTGTTTTTAATACTCGTATAAAACTATAAACTATAAAATATAAAATATAAATTATAAAAAAAAAATTAACCGGCCCGGCCCGAACCGGACCCGACCCGTGACCCGGGCGGGTGGCCCGGCCCGAACCGGACCCGTCCAACCCTCGGGCCGGTCCCGGGCCCACTGTTCTTGAACCGGCGGCCCGACCGGGCCTAGGCCCGGGCCCGGGCCGGCCCGAATCCATCCCTAACCAAGGTACTGCTAGATTCTACCACCACTTATCTATGAATGTGACAATTGAACAAATTCTGTTGCGGCAGTAATTTATGCTGAAAAAGAAAGTGAATGATGTTTACCAAACACGTAACATTAAATGGAATTTTGACAAAGCAGCAGCGGATCGTGTTAATCTAACACATTCAAAAAAATCACTTTATTCATTGCAAAGAATGTGTAGAATTACATACTTACAAATGGATTCTAGATAAACTAAAAGACGGGCAGGGTTTTTGCATTTAGCAAGTAAAAAATGTCACATTTATACAAAAAATAAGGATAAATGAATACAGAGCTTGGACTATTAATTATGAAGAAATTTCTAATCAATCAGAAATAGATGTTAGCAAGCTTGTCTGCAACTTATCTATAATACGGAGTATCAGAATTAGATGTTACAGACATCTACTCCCTCTTCACAATATTCTTTACTGTCACCTTGGTTTCCGTGAAGTTACCATTGCATAACAAACTTCAAGTGCCTACAAGAAACATACTTTCTGAGTTATTATACCTGGGGGGAAAATGTCAAACGAAAATATGATTCTGATGTTCCAATAAGAATAAATGAAAGTGCCAAACCAAATATGTCGCAGCTAAAAACAAGTTCAGGTTACACAAAGTTCATTAGATAAAGCCTATCTTGCCCCAAAATGATCTTTACAATGCAAGATATTCGACACACTCACCTCAGCCTGGATGGATAACTGGATGGTGGACAAATGGGTCTAAACTGACCACCTTAACCGGACGCCCCAACTCATCGAATGGGGCGTACATCATCAACAAGTGGACCAAACACCATATAAATAGGATTATCTCGCCCCACACAGACCTACATAAGATGAAATTTACTCAGGCTCACATACTAACCTCAAATTTTGCAGACAACTAATGTGGAAACACAACACATTCGATGATGGCAGGCATTACAATCTTTGTAATAACACATTCATTAAATAAGTTAACCACTTGTTTTATTTAAATTAAAAAAAAGGCTGTACAGGTTTGAATTCTATGAATACTCACAAAATTGGGTAGCAGTGTGAAGTTGGGAACGAATTGTCCTTGCTGAAAAAAAAGCTAGACTTGCCATAAACACAAGGTTGATCCTTACTCTGTCAGAAATCAGAAGAAATCATCTCACTTAATCTTGCTTGTGGTATCTCCTCCTTGACCGGATCTGATATAATGCCTACAACCTACTCCAACAGTTCTACCATCATTGCAAGCATTGTTTCCATGCTTTTTTTGTCCAGAGGATCTCATTTAATGATGTATATCTAAAGGGTCTTTCCCAGAAATGTTATATCAAGTTACCTCAAACTGATGCCTGCTACACAGTGGCTGTAGGAGCTGGAAGTTAGAATCAGTTTTTTGCAATGGTGATATTTACTCCCGTCGAGATCCTTATTCAAGTTGGGAAGGCGTCCACAGATGGCTTTAAAAAGCACACAGTAACACTCAATGTGCGGCTATTACTGTTCAGATGTGTACTACAAAGACACTTGCAATCCAATGATTCCCTCTTTTCCTCAATTGACAGTAGATGAATAATACCCTTACTATTCTCACTCCGACCCTTTAGCGGTTGATTTCTTCCATTGCAACACAAACTAGGCGCAATAATCCATCCATATCCTGGAAACTGAAATCAATTGCCCTTTTAACATGTGAAATACCATCTTTGCTCTTCTCGTCTCCTATTCTCGAATTTGCAGCTGCAAAAGCAGCCCTTGAATTCTTCGAAGCTTCCATTGCAAGATTAACATCTTCGGTCTGTGAGTTAAAATAGAGAAAGTTGATTACAAATAGACATCACCTGATCAATAGTTAAAAACCATCAAGAAAATATTTACTCCTTTCGTCCCAAACTGATCAATATTAACTTGTAAATTAAATGCATTTTATTAATTTCGAAGTTATAAAAGCATTTAATGTAGCAAAAAATAATGCAGAGTATGTAGTTATGGACAAACATGGAAGATTAGCAAAAAATATGGTTCGAATCCATATTACGCCAAGTATTTTGGGACAAAAAACAATTGGCTAAAATGACTGATTTACGTCGAGGGAGTATAAATGGAATATATAAGATTGATGGATACTAGTGATACCACTACTTTCATTATCAAAATTCAAAAACTACTGTAACTGTATGCAAAAATTTCTGCTGCCCCTTGAGATCAGGTCATAGTTATTAATCCAACCTTGTATTTTAAAAGTCAATTAGTTACCCCCAGTCCCAAGGGGTTTTACGTTTCTTGCAACTCCCCCTTCCAATAATATTTATCTCATTTGACTATCTAAAACATCTCGTAAGTCAAAACACTACCTTCATCATTCTAAACCACTATTACAGCACATCATTCCTGTAGCCTTTGCTACTCGCGGAATAAATTTCATTCAGAGTAGCGAGAAGCAGAAGAGTAACGAGTATCAGTGATGGCTTTTTATGATGAATAAAAACAATTGACTTTTAACAGATGGTATTTTAGACAATTGTCGTTACATTTGACATTTAAATGAGGTCAAATGAGATAAACATTGACAGAAGGGGGTATTGCTGGAATGACCACAATTTAAGTGGCAACTAGTCCTTTAGTGAATACAGTCAATACACCATGTTGGACTAGTTATTAACTTATTATGAAAACCATATTCATCCACATTCTACCAACAAATCCTAGCCCAATCTCAGATACATCTGTGAAAATAAAAACCACTATGTTTCTTACATTTCCAATGTCATTATAATCCACTTTTATTTCTTCCATAAAAAAGTTGGAGGAAATGATAGACAAGAGCTCTGTTGATACGACTGGTTTCAGTAAGCTGATTTCTTGACTGAGTTGAATACTGAATACTTACAAACTTCATTAACCGTGTGATATTGCTGATATTGGAACGGTTTCTAGTCATCACAGCATGAGCTCCATCCACTTGAGGAGGGCCAACATTTTTGGCTAAGCCATCCTTGTCTACAGCTGACGGATTGTTCAAATTGTCAATATCAGATGCAGAAGAGGAAGGGGATTGACCTAGGATGCAATGATAAGTATCATAAGACACTTTAAAATGGATAACAAGAAAAGCAAAAAAAAAAAAAAAAACTAAGTTGGTGGATAGTGTAAAATACTCATCTTGGCAATCTTGTTGTGAAGTTGAAACATGCTCAAGTACTTGTACTACCAATTTACATGGAATCAAGTGCATGTGCCCCCCCCCCCCCCCCCACACACACAATGTTAATCACCATACTTAGCTTACTAAAAAATTAAGGAAACGCAGGTAGAACAAACCCTAGCCTGTGTTTTTGCTTTGGATTTTACACTTACAAACACCAATCTAAATGAAATTTAAATGGTTATCAACCTATACATATAAGAGAAGTCATTTCATTAAAAGTAGAATACATAGCTAGGGAAAATTGTCAAATAGGCCCTCATAGTATTATGAAAAAGTTAATTTGACCCTCACACTCAATATTTACTCAAACAAGCCCAAGAACTTATAAAAAAGCTCAAAATGATAATTAGGTCGCATGCCTGTTTCCCGGTTACCTTGCTTGTGTGGCTGCCATGTCAGCTTTTTTAAAAAAATTATTTTACTTTTTACCCGCCACTACACAGTGTCTTTTCAGCATCCTCCTCTTTCTTTCCTTTTTCTAATTCCTTTCCCTCTCTTTTTTTGAATTTTTCTCTTTCCTTTCCATTGGGTTCCCTGATCCTTTCTTTTAGCTGTATTTTTTGTTCTTCAATATTCTCTTTTGTTTTTCTTTGCACTTGGTTTTTAAAAACGGTTTTGATGTCTTCTTTTCTTGTTCTATGTTTAGTTCTGAAGATCTTGAAACTCCCATTTAAGATACAACTGTCAAGCTCTCAAATTTTTCTGTAAATTAAATTACATAGTTAGAAGTTTCACATCTAATTAAGAATGATAATTTCACTATCTTCCTAACTTAAATGCCTTTTCCTTGGGATTTTCAGCTCTTTCTTATGGATTCTTCACTTGTCCCCTTTGTTTTCTCACTTGGACTTCAATTTTTCTGAATTTCTTGTTGGATTAGTAAAAGATTGGACTCAAATACGCTAAAATAGTTGGTCGCTTTGATGTTGATTCATAAAGGATCCTTCTACTTAATCTTAATTTCTGGCAGATTTTTTTAATGTTACTCAAGCCACGAGTCCTCATGTTAGCCGACCCAATATCTTTTGGGACTAAGGCTTGGATGTTGTTGTACTCAAGCCATGAGTCCCACGACTCCCAAGAAACGAAGCTTCAATGATCATTTCCCAGATCCATCAAAAGAGCTACTTCTGTATCTAAGAAACGAAGCTAGAAATGGTATATACAGCGTGAGAGAGAGAGAGAGAGACTGTTTGAGCAGACTAGGGACTTGCATACTACAGGAGAAGGTTGAGGTGATGGTTGCTTGAGAAGACGAGAGGATGAGTGTGAGCTATGAAGGAAAAGAAAGGTTAAATTGACTTTTTAATAAAATTATAAAAATTGTTAAGAATAGTGCCACATGGACATCCAGGTAAGACGGAATCCGGGAAACCTGAAGGTGACCTTTTAATACGATTTTTATAACTTTATTAGGTGATCTTGGAGTACGAGGACTTAATTTCTGTTTTGATATATTACGAGGGCTTATTTTCCAGTTTTCCCACATATTTATGATTGAATTATTAAGTCCATTAGAGAGCCATAAACAAAAAATTGGTGATTTATGCAAGCCTGTAACTTATATACAAAAAGGACACTTTCAATAATCAAGTAGCATCTGCAATAAAAGTGATTGTTTTTCCTGTTCACCTGGGGGAGAACGCAGAGCTTTCTGTAGTTCAGTTCCATATCTATCTGCAATGGAATGTGAGTGATAAATTACGTGCATGTATGCGGCCTCCATGCATTTGTAGGCAAGAGCAGCAGCAGCCATATCATTGGATCTTTCATATTCTTGAGCACAAAATCTGTTTATAAGACAATGAGAGAAGCATATGTTATCTTTTACCATTCTTATTGGTATCATCCATTACATGCTAAGAAAAGGAGCACATGATATCCATAATGGAAAATTGCAAGTAACTTTTAGCATATACTAACTTGCAGAGTTTTGCAGTGTCGCTATAAATTTGCCCCGACTTGGCCTTTTCAACCTGCTTCTTACTATCAACATTGCATGAATCGTATAAAGCTGCTGCTGTGAGAAACTTTATCGCGGACTGGAAATAAAATCCTATGCTGTCACTTGATCCAGAACTCTGGAGAACAAATAGACAACATATTAGGCCTACATTTATAATGTAATTGGGGCACTCATTTGAAGAATAAAATAATTTCTTGTCTCATTTTTTCATATTTAAGGAAATGACTAAGAACTTTATTGACCTGGAGACGATCAGCCACATGTTTAAGGTTTTTCGCTTCTATTACAGCACTTGCAGCAGCTTGATTGGGGGAATCCTTTTGTGCTGGAGAGGGAGCATCATCATCATGGGCCTTGTTAAGAATTGAGGTAGAGTGTCTTGAAGCATTAGGTTGGTCCCTACTGTGGCTCTGAAATTTATTACCATCCCTAGCCCTTGAAGCATCATTTTCAAATTCATCTACTGACAACAAATTTGCAGGTTCCTTTTGTGACCCAAGAATTGAGTGTTGAAATGTTGGTAATGGCTGCAGCGATTTCCCTTTTCCAGATGTAGGAAGCCCATTAGTTCTGCCGGAAATATAATTCTTACAGGATTCATCTCCTCTATTTGGAACTAAAACCTGCCCCTTATTTAGCCCAGAAATGGTGTCTGCCTTGACATTCCTACCATTATTGTCAGCCTGCTTTAAGTGAATTTCTTCTTTAACACTCTCAGTCAAGAATGTATCACTGTGATCTTTAGCCAAAGTGTTATCTGAATGATTAGGAGTTCTCTCTGGAAGTTTATTTTTCCCAGCCTTTAATTTTTCTCTAGAAGAGGGCGTTCCATCTAAAGAATCAACACCACTCAATCTATCAAGTTCATTTTTGTAACTCCTAATCTTGTCTTTAGGTTTAGCAGATGAACCCTTCCTGAACATCTTCTCGGTGGTTACACTATTATCATGTAAAAGATCAGAACTCCATCCCTCGCCTTCACCTTGCTCCAATATTTGTGCTCTAAAAGCATTCTGGTTGCATGGAGGCAAAGTTCCTACAGCTTCATTTTCATCCTCTGCTACAATAACAGTACCTAGGTTCAGTTTAAAACTTGGTATATTACCCAAAGGCACCTCCTGATGATCAAGGGAGTTATTATGAACATCATTCCAGGTTCCATCCTTCATAACCATCCCAGACATATAACTGCCCCCGCCATTTGCTCCAACTACCCCAGGAATCCTCAGAGGAGATGAAGATGCCGAATCTACAGGGGAAGACCTCCGTTCCGAGAGATTAATTTTGTTCCTTCGTGAGACAGAAACTTTAGAAGAGCTTGAAGTGGCAGTCGTGGAAGGCTGCAGCGTGCCTAAATGCCTCTTTGTAGAATACATGGCTTGGTACTGCACTGTTTGCTGGCCGTTATAGTTTTCCCTTTCATCTTTTCCTTCATAGAATCTGTTTCCAACTGGAAGTTTTACCTCAGTGTTGAAATCCTTTGCGGCCTTGCCTTTCCTTTGGTTGTTTTCACAAGTTTCTGCGGATATAACAGGAACAGGTTTACTGTAGGTCTCTGAATGGTGAAGCCCATTCCCTTTCCTCTTCTTAGAAGTATCCCCCCTACTGTCGTACTTGCCTGCATGCAGTGATCCATCACCTGAATTAACTGGATTCCCGTTTCTTTTCCTCTTCTTCGAAGAGTCCTTACTGTAGGAATTGCTCACATGAAGTGATTCATCACTTGAATTAACTGGATTACGAACCTGGAGGTTTTTATCTGAAGGTTTTGAATCTCTACATTTGTACTTGTGCTGATCCATCAGTGACACAGTCTGAACCATACCAGCGCTTGAGCTAGGTTCTGCATTTGCCCAGGCCTTGCCAGTGGTCCACTTTTCATCATCGTCATATAAGCTAACTCTTTTCACCTTCTTAGAGGTTCTGGAATTAACCAAATCAGCCTCTGACTTGTCCTTTGTCTTCACATTATTTCCACCTGTAAACATGAGATGTTGATTAAGAGGTCGTATTAACCACATAAATGGAGATTAATGATTTTCAAAATGAACTAAACATGAGCACTTCAAAAGATATACCTCCATCAGAAGTCCTGCTGTCAAGCAACAGTTTTCTCACTTTCAGATTATTGTTTTGCTTCTCGACAACTGGGGTACTTGAATGTCTGTAATACTTTCTATGCCCACTTTCACCCGCAAAGGAGTGGATGCTGTCATTTAAACCCCCATTCACAATTTCGGTAAGGTTATTAGTTTTGCTTGAAGACTGCATCATGCCCGATTGTTTGCTTTCATCTGAAGAATCTTTTGATCCATGTTTCTTCTTACCTCTAGCATCTGCAATTTGTGAACTGTGATTTCTGTTCTCCACATCTGAATGAAAAACATCAGCTGAAGAAAATCCTACGAGGTTCCTATGATGATATTCATTCTGATTGTTTGTCTGTGCTTCAGAAGCAGGCGTGGTAATGACAGCAGCAGGAAACTGGTATAAAGCTCTTGAAGCCGTTGTTGTCTCCTCCTGGCTAATACTGCAGCGGTTAAGACCCGGCCTAGAAAAAGGTAAGACTAATCACTTTAGTGAAAGGAATCTGTGAAAACTTAAAAAAATAGTTTTTGATAAATTTAATCATCAAAAACTTTCACAGGAATATGGGATCAGATGGCTCCAACTTACTTCATAAGTTGAAATTATCCTCGCATAACTATTCTATGGTAAAGTCATGTATATTCTTATTACTCATAATAGAGGTCCACCGTACTGATCAAGTCATATTATATGCATTACACAAAAGAACTTACAGCCAGTCAAGCATTTTACAAAGCCAATTCTTCGGGAGACTTTTAGGATCTGTTCCAAGTGGAAGTAGACGCCACTTCTGACACTTATCACACATAACCCAATCTTCTTGGACTAGTGGAGCCTCAGCCACTGGAGCAGAAGTAGAGTTGGGCTCGATCACACTGATTATTTTCATGTTTGGGTCTAAGCTATGATGCTCCGTCAAGGCAAGTGGCTTCTCAACTTCAGAAGCCTTAGATATCACTTTCATCACACCAGAACATTCTACCAGGTGAGTCTCATTAGTAGCATCAGAACCCTTCAACATTTCAGGTGAATGTGTTCTCTCTGAACAAATTTTATAACCGTCTTGCTCAGCGTCTAGGTTCCCAGATAATTCAGTGTATAAATCTCTAGCTTTAAAATGGTTCTTGACATCCTTCGAGTAACTTTTGGATGTACTTGTGCTTCCAGAAGAGCTCCTTTTAGTCTTATGTGTCGAACAAGAATTATTTACCAAGATATCCTTAGAAATCTTCCCCTCACGGACATCACTAATTTGAATCTCGCTAAGTTTCTTCTTGTTTCTGGATGATACTTGTTTTTTTACCAGCCTCATCCCAACCTCTTTTTTTGATGTCATCCTTGAAGCAATTGATGGTTTTGAAAACCCAATTGTGTCAGTACTAGGATCTTTTCTAGTTTTGTTACACCCAGGGTCGGTTGAAACATTAGCTTGCTCCATGCCTTTGTTACCTTCTTTCTTTGGAAATTCTGCACGTAGGTCAAAATTGTTTGATTTTTCATTTTCCAAGCCCCCAACAGATGAACTGACTATTCCATTGGGTCTATCCACTGTGGCATTATTCTCTGTAGCAGAAACAGGGTCAAAATCATCCTTGGTTGTATGATCAATGGATTCTTCCTTCATAATACCTTGACCACTGGTTGTCAAATTATCATTTGTCTTGGAACTAATTGCAGGATAAGACACACTACTGATTGACTTAGAGAGAAGAGGGGGTTTCATAGTTCTGGATATAAATTCTTCACGGGGCAAGTTATCGTCACTGACATACCCATTTACTATGACATCATTCTCGTGCAAGTTTTGTTTTCTCTCGCCCGCGATTTTCTTACTTCCTCTTGTGCTATCAGGTCCATTGGCCACTATCCCAAAAGCATCTGCACTAGTCTTATGCATAGTCTTAGATCCACATTTTCTCCAATGCCAATCTTTTTCTGTCAGATAAACCAAACCATCAGAAAGAGGTGATAGCAATAAGCTTCCATGCATGGGAGATGAGGCCATGATCTGTCCCAAAAGGTTTGTGAAATCAAAACTAGTTAGTATGCCCCAATAGCTTGACAAATCAAGTATTCAAATCCCAAAAAAAGACCAACACAATATATGAAGGATAGCTGCGGAGCACAACGCACCTGAAGAATGCTCGTAGGTGATTCATCTGGGGCATCCTGAATTTCATGAAATAAACCTTCACTGTCTGTGGGGCTATTATCTAAGGATGAGGATGGAGAAACAACAAGGCCAAGTCCATCGTAAAGCTCCGCAATTTTTGTATTCGACAGATTTTCCGACCCAACTCTGATGCGCACCTTCAGACTTTTCTGGTCAGACGATTCAGCAGGCTTCTGAAGCGTTTCACATGTTGAAGCAGACTCTACAGCCCTAGCCGCGGTTATGCATAAGTTGTTTTCGGGATTCGGAATAGGAACCCTAGTTGCAGGAACCAGCAGAGAACTTGTGGAAGTTGGACCACACCTTGTAGATATTAAAGTGCTTGATGAAACACATGAATGATGTCTGCCACCCTAAATTATAAGACAAGTCATTCTGCTCAGTTACATTCAGATCTTTGGTGTCAGGAAACACATATTAACTTTTCCATACAATGAAACAAAGCTAGTACAGCTATACAAGCTAGAGGTAGCTACCTCAAGGTGTGCAATATAGGGGGGTCTTGGTATGGTATTGCTGAGGACTTCCGGTGGAGTCTTCAAATCAGGCGCAGGCGGTGAGCGCTGATAAGTGGGCAAAAATGAACCGTAAGCACCAAATGATGACCCTGCCAATGAATGGTAACTCCAAATCATCTATAATTGAACAGTAGCATGGCAAGCATTATTGCAAATCATTTTCCCTGTGTTTAACTACTCACCCAGAGTTTCAGAGGACACTTCTCCTTCAAAATCCTTTTGAAAATGCCCTAAAACATGCTCAATTCTCTCATCCTTCAGATAAAGAAAAATGGTAAAGCAAATTAAACTTTATTGTTGGAGAACTTCACAGGTTCTTTCAAACTCAAAGGTTAAATATAGCATTTTAAAGTACATAACTGCAATACACCTATCTGGATTTGCATAAAATTAAATAAAGCCAAGCTAGTTATAATGTTTTGTTGAACATCAACTAGCTCTTAACTATTCAGTAAATATGTCAAACCATATTTAACGGCTGAAAAGACAGGGATTCAATTTAATTTATTTAACATAACAAGACAATAGGCGTCAATCACATCTACACAGCGGAATCAGCTAAATAAACTAATAATTAGATGTTTACATGTGTAAAAGGGGACATTTTAACTACCAAAAGAAAGTCAAGGAGAATATGTACTCTATATTAACTGGAATTGTAAATTATATTGGTAATAAGAAACTCACTATGTAGGAGAGAGCAATTTCAGGGTCAATGATTGAATCATCACCACACCCATTATTATTATTAATTCCATTATAGCAAGCCTCTCCTTCTTCAAGATCGAGTTCTTCCATCTCTCTTCCAACACTTAGCCCCTTCCTTACATCGTCCTTTCTAACATGAATCATCCAGAAACACCTCCAAACACTCTCGGGAAGCGGGTGGCTTACTGGCTTCACCAGTAAATACAAACATGACAGAACCTTCCAGAACCGGTTCTTGCCAGCAAAACTGGGCAATAATCTATCCAGAATCAATCAGAATCCAGAGAGAGAGCAAACAACTAATCAAAATTTGAAGACGCGAAGAGGAGAAACTAAGTTGTTTGAATTATTATTAATTTAAAGTTGAATCCGGATAACTTACCAGATGATCCTGCAACAGAAAACTAAAAGATTAGAACTTGGATCTCCCTGTGCGATCTCCAGCTCACGGCGATGAGAAGAAAGAGAGAAGACGAATGCGATGCAGACGGGGAACTACAGAGAGCCTATTCGTGGAATTGAGTTATTTTCCCTTTTCTTTGAAAGAGAAAATATTAACTATTTCCAAATTTTGTAGTCTGAAGCAATTACTTCAAATTTACGTATATTACTTTTCCTTTTCATTTTTATCTGTCTTATTTTTCATATTTTAGAATAAGAATCTCATTCCAAAAGCCTTGTACTTAGGATTTTCAAGACTCACTATTTTCCTGACACAAGTTTTTTGAAACCAAGATTGGAGAGCAACCCTTCTTAGTGTACTTAGGATTTTCAAGACTCACTATTTTCCTAACACAAGTTTTTTGAAACCAAGATTGGAGAGCAACCCTTCTTAGATTTGGCAAAGCATATTTGGAACCCAGAGAATGGGAAGAATAATGTGCGCAAAAAGGCACGGAATGGGAAGAATATCCTAGTGTGGGCGGATGCTTGACTCTCGGGGGACGGGTCGGGTGAGTTCGGCTAAACCGGTGGGGAATTTGGATATGAATGTGACAACTTCACGGGATGCAACCGGGAGTAAATGGAACAAAGAGAATGTGACTAATTTGTTTGATGAAGAGGATTGAAGAAAGATTCATAATATACCCATCAATTTGCGGGATAGAGAAGATGGTTTCTGGTGGAGTGGTGAGATGAATAGGTTGTTCTCCGTGGAGAGTTGTTATAGGGCCTTATCGGGACCACTTGGTCTACGAAGCTTGGAAGGGGGGGGGGGGGGCGTCGGTGTGGGAGTTACTGCTTCCACCTAAGATCAAATATTTTTTCTAACAATTATTGGATGGTTCTCTATCTTCCTTAGCAAATATGAAGAGGAAAGGAGTCACAGCTCAAAGAGGTTGTAAACTTTATGGGCAAGAAGGGGAGACAACGGATCATGCTTTATATTCCTGTTGCAGAGCACGAGATGTCTGATGAGAAGCAGGGGATCGCTTTCTCTCGATAGCAGGGACTTTTGAGGAATGGATCAAAGCAGGACCCTTACATTTTTATCACCCGTGGAAGCGCATGAATGACATGATTTGGAAGGGAAAGACGGTGGGAGCATCAGATGTGATTAAATGTGCAGCGAACATGATTTCCAGTTGGAGGGGCGTGAAGTACCCAACGTCCGGATCGAAGCAAGTTGTAGGGAGCGGTGCACCTCGGTGGCAAAGGCTAAAATCAAGATATGTCAAGGTTAATGTTGATGTGATGGTTAGTATAAATAAAGGCATAAGACCGTGGGATGGGTTGCTATGAATGGTTAAGGTGAATTTCTTAAAGCCATAGGTGATTCGAGGCAAGCGGATTGGTCCCCAACAGACAAAGAAGCTATGGGTTTTCGAGAACCTATGATGGAATTGCTCAAGTGTAGGATTTGATCGAGGTTAAGACTAACATATTCATGTTAGTTCAAGGGATAAAATTGAGAAGGATGTTCTCATCTTGAATTTTGTTAGACGATATACAACAGGCTATTTAAAACAAGTAACATGAACATCTTTTTGTAAACGGTGTGTGAATCGTATTGTCCATGCGATTTCAAGGGCACATGTGTCCCTCTCATATTATAGGTGCAATTATTTGTGGTTCTAGATTGTATTGTAAGCCAATTGGCAAATGATATTCTTATTATTTGAAAGGGGCCAGTTTATGATTAAAAAAAATGTCTTCTTTTTCTTTTTGTGTTGTCCCAAAATAAGTACTCTCTCCGTCCCGGAATTATCTTCATACTTTCCTTTTCGGTTCGTCCCAAATTTATCTCCTTTTTCCCTTTTTGGTAAAGAATATGTGGATCACAACTATTCTTACACATTTCTCTCCTCTGCATAACTCTCCACCACACAAATCCCACTATCTTAAAACCCATGCCCGGTCAAAACCGGAGTTAAATATGGGACGGAGGGAGTATCATGTTTCCTATTTTAGAAAGAAATATGTGATCCACATTATTTCACTTTACTCAAATCTCAACTACAACTTTTACTTTTCCAACCATAACTTTTACTAATAATTGTGCTAAACCAAAAGAAGACACATAGATTGGACGAAGGTATTGTGTATCATAATATATATACATGGACTTTATATACAAGTTAGTTTTGGTATTATAATTATGTATAGTTTCTTTTATAAATGTAAATGAATGATGTTAATATACACAAAATTTGAAATAGTGTAACTACTTTTAGAATGCGGTTAACGTTCTAAACTTTTTTATGAAGTATATGGTCCTGGGCCCACATATTCCTACCACTCAGAGACAAGCCTAATGGGCTACCAAAAGCCCAGAAAGCAATCAGAACAAGTAAGAGAGAGAACGAGTGTGTAATAAATGAACTCGTGTTTTGCAATGAAAAAGTGGCGCTATTTATATCAGCCATAAATGCTAAGCGCATTTAATGCGAGTACACATGTCAGCCAAACAGCGGTGGAGGGTCGGGTCAACTCAACTGGGGTGACGCCGACATAGCACGTGGCACCGCATTTAATGCGGTGGTTTGGATGTGACACCGCATTAAATGCGGCGATTCAGAGCGTGCAGAGAGGAAATCTTGTCAGGGATAGTGCCCTCGGATGTATGTACCTGAGGACATCATGTACCGGTGGATGTATGCGTCGAAGGCTGAATGTGTCGATGGATGTATGTGCCGAAGGTTGCTGATTTTTGCTCTGCTTCCCAGTCGTGCTTTTTGACCAGGTATGGTCGGTCTCCAGAGTATGAAGCCTTCAGGCATAGAGCTGAAGGCTACACCTTGTGCAGCATGGGCTGTCCGGAGTTTTGGCTTTTGTGTTTGGGCCACCTGGGCCTATTTGTAATAGTGGGAGTATGTGTGTGGGGGGTTTGTAATACTTGAGATTTAATTTAAACGGATTAATAGTACTACTCATATCAACAAGGTGCATCTTCTTTTAAGTGATCTCATTAGCCAAGAACTCCAAAGTTAAGCGTGCTTGCACGAGAGTAGTCTTGGGATGGGTGACCCCCTGAGAAGTTTCTCAGGACTCGCATGAGTGAGGATAAAGTGCGCGTAAAAGGCTAGTGGCGGTTTGTGAGGACAGTACTAGAGGTCTGGAAGGTGTGTTGGAGTAACTACCTTGGGTCCTAGAGGGCCGGGGTGTTACAGGTGGTATCAGAGCAACCCTGCGACAGTGTGCTGACCCGTTGGATATCAGGCGGGCACTTAGTGGGGGAGGATTCTGGGATTTGATTGAAATTTGAGATTGGTTTATGGGCGTAACGAGGACGTTGCGTTCCTAAGTGGGGGTGATTGTAATACTTGAGATTTGATTTAAACAGATTAATAGTACTACTCATACCAACAAGGTGCATCTCCTTTTAAAGGAGCTCATTAGCCAAGAACTCCAAAGTTAAGCGTGCTTGCACAAGAGTAGTCATGGGATGGGTGACCCCCTGAGAAGTTTCTCAGGGCGCGAATGAGTGATGACAAAGTGCGCAGAAAAGGCTAGTGGCGGTTTGTGAGGACAGTACTAGAGGTCTGGAAGGTGTGTTGGAGTAATTACCTTGGGTCCTAAAGGGTCGGGATGTTACAGGGTTCCTAGGCCATATACTCCATCACAATCAGTCACCCCTCAAGTGGGCTACCGTTCAATCGAAGGCCTCAACATTATACAAAATGAATGGAATGCGACCTGAAAAAACTCCACCATTCATACGACCCCTTGGCATGTACCCCTCAGCCTCCTATCCTAGCTCTAGTACTCAGTGAACAAGGTGCGCACGGGTAAAGGCCTACTGCCGCTTTGCCGACTGAGTCACCGTGATTTACTCCCCCACCATCCTGTCGGGTCGGGGTGGGGGGCCCTTGGGGTTGGGGATTCAACCTTTTGGACGTAGTACTCAGTGAACACATTTAATGCACTACAACATGTCTGGTTGTACCTCACTCTAAAGCTTTCTTCACATATTAGCTTACATGTGTACGCACATTTAATGCATTTAGAATGTGTGACTAGCATAAACAGTCACCTTGGGCAAATGTAACAGTTGAACTTTCATTAATGTGACACACTCTTCTCTCTAAGTTATTAGCTCCGTCTTATCTCTATATGCGGCTAGTAGTATTCTAACGTAGATATCACTTGCATTTTTTAAATAAATAATAGTATCATCGGTTCATGTAGTTGCGACATTTTTAATTTGATATTTGTGAGCACACGACTTTCACCATTTACATATTAGTAAATATTATACAAAATTGTTTGAAATTTTAATCTTAGACAACCCTTATACGGAGTAATGTTTTGTATAGGGAAAATATTACATACATTGATAAATAAAATGCAATCAAGGTATAGCGTGTGAATTAAAATGGAATATATAAATAATGTAAAACTCAAAGTGTTTTCATTATTAAAATTGGATGATCATATGGCTCATGATGTTGAAATCCCACATAATGTGCTTATACTTTTTTATATTCTTTAATGGTTGAAACCCTTAGCATGAGTTTAAGAATACTTACACGCTCTACTAGTCTACTTTGACCTTTACACTAATCACATTCTACTTTAATTGCATTTTATTACTAATTTACTAAATAATTGTCCTACACAAAATATTAAAAAAAAATCTAATATTACAATTTTAAAACATGTCTTTTATTTTTTATAATTTGTATTAATAATCAATTAAATATATTAATAGTGAAAATTGTGTGATGGCATAAAAACATCAAATTAAAATGATGCTTTTTGGTGGACTAGATATGATATAATGTTATTTAATTTAATTTATTTCACCCTGAATGTGTTGCCTAGAATGTTAATTGCATCTCATAAATGCTTAGAGTAATTTAAATTATGTACGTATATGATCCTATGAATATACGTTTGTGAAAGGAAAAATAGAAGATATGATAGTGGTACTACTATAAATTTTTATATAAAAAATTGTGGAATAAATATTACATATGTAAGTTTGATGTATGTATTTCACACTGATGGGGTATATAGACCCCGACCCCCTGGCCTGCCAACTATTGGGCCTGGATAACGATTCACGTACATCAACATACAACATTTATA